TATATTGGGTTATTTGTAAAAAATTTCACTGCGCCCCTCTCTTACTATTATTTTGCGGGTAGGGTACATTAATTATTCACACCTTATTTTTTATTCCCCCCCCCCCCCCCCCCCCCCCCTTTTTTCAAAATAATTCTAAGAATAAAACTTAGGTATATTTATAGTTAAAATGATACGAAAGGACATCTAACTTGTAAATGTACGAGATGCCTTTGCTTAACGGAACATAGATGCTATAGTGGCTAGTGACTAGATCATGCTTCATATTTAACTTACATGCTTAGACGCATGCTCATGTACTAGATAGTCTATACTATTCAACTCAGGGTGAATTAATTTAGCTTTTTGGCTTTTAAGAAGTGCTTTTATTCTAGTGCCACGTTAACAGATAGCTATGCACTGTTGATTTCCTAGGCTGAACCCGCCGCTCTTCAGTATTTAAGAGTATACTCTCCTATTTATCGCTTAGGAAGAGCAAGTGAGCGCTCTCGTGCTTAAATCCAAACAATATACAAGATGATGGAGTGAATGAAAAGGGGAGTCATTGTTATTAAGAGCAGTATATAATAGTCGTTTCGGTGAGTGGTAACGCTAAAGAAAGATGAGTTGGTATTAAGAGGTATTAGGAGGTAGTTAATGAGGTTCTAATGGATTGACTGGGTACTTTCTTGCTTTTACAGGTGTGATTATTATTGTGAGGCTTACGATCTAGCCAAGTTGAAGCGAGTTCTCAAGTAATCTACTGGGTTTGTACGTAGCCTAGTTACCTGAGGTAGGTATAGCTAAGAAGATAAAGCTCGGCTCGTATGATATTGAGACCGTAGTTGAATAACATCATAAGCTTTCCCACCCCTTTCCCTAGCAATCTATGAAATACCATTGGCTCTACGCCGAGGTTATTGGTATATCAATACGGAGGGAACCCTAAAGTTCCAGATGCAACCCCGCATGGTATCGCAGCCGTCCACGAAGCATTATAACTACCGCGTGGAATCTGGGGTCTCCGCATTGATTTCCCAAGAACGGCTGGATGATCGTCATGGTTGGTCGGTGTGCTATGCCTGGATTTGGAAAATAAATGCCTGGCCTTCTATGAATGTAGAATAGATTAATGGAGTTAATGTTACCTACGCCTGTAAGACGTGAATGGTCTGCGGCGTGCCAATGGTACCTATATATCAATCACAACGCTTAGATAAGAATAAGCACTACTATTCGAGTGGCTCTTAGGACATACTTTTATAAAAAGTTAGCATTCGAACGCCAAAGATCGACTGCTATTTATTCGAGCCCGCTAGTTTCTTTCCTTTAAGAGCCGTGTTTCGTTTACAACTATAGGCCATGCCCACGGACGCGGAGAAGCAAGATGCAGCTTTGGAGGATCAGAAGTCAGGGACCCACGAGGGACTTGAAGTAGTCCCGATCGATCAAGGGGTAAACTTTGAAGTCCAAAATGTTCATCTGAGTTGGAGATCATGGGTATGAATCATATCAATTTTGCGTCGTGCTGAACTGCGTGTGTTGACAATTTGCTTGAATATGTAGCTAGTGGTGTTTATAACCTGCTTCGCGTAAGTTCGATGGCATATTTGCTCATTTGTGACCCTGTCTCTAATCATACCGAACAGTGTCATGGCCCAAGTATTCGTGGTAGTGGCGGCGGGCTCAGTCATTGCATTTATAGTCCGCGATCTAGGAGACGCTTCGATAGCCGGCTGGGTCATCCAGGTGCGTATCCACTGCTGCATTCTCTCAATAATGTTGTATAACTAATTAAGAACCTCTAGGGTCCGCTACTCATGCAATCCGTACTATCGCCTATAGTTGGTCGATTATCAGATGTATTGGATAGGAAATTCCTTGCGACCGTGCCGCCACTCATTGCATTCGTGGGCGCCGTTGTATCTGCCAAGGCAACGTCAATGAGCATGCTTATCGGTGGCGGTATTCTCATTGGGACCACGTTAGCTACGATATCTGTCGTACAGGCGATCCCCTCCGAGATACTGCCCTTGAAGTTCCGCCCTCTCGCTAACGGCTTCGCTTTTGTCGGAGGTACTGTAGGTGGACTGTAAGCATTCACTAATCCTGCTGCCCTTCCACCGCCTTTATATCGTCCTTTGCGGGGCTAAGTAAATGAGGACAGGATCGGTTCACTCGGTGCTGGCGCAGTAACTAATGTCGATGCTGGCGGATGGAGATACATATTCTGGATACAAGCCGCCTTTCACGGCATTACCGCACTAGGGCTCTTCTGTCTCTACTGGCCGCCGAAACATATTGAATACCCTAAGATGTCGTTATGGGACTATATATGGGCTTGCGATCCTATTGGATCTGTACTCTTCGTCGGCAGCGCAACTCTTATGTTACTCGGACTTGATTGGGCCGGAGGAGCCTACGCTTGGTCAAACCCTCATGTTGCGGTCTCAGTCGGCTTAGGCCTTACGCTGCTAGTTAGCTTTGCTATGTACGGTAAGTAGACACTTAGTCTCTAGTCTCTGACGATATAACATATGACGAGACCGATTCTTGATAATGTATAGTGAATTAGCTAACGATACTAGAATGGAGAGGACGATCCGATGGCCTAGTTGCCCATATCTTCTTTCGGGAGAACGCCAACTTTGTTTACTCGATATTCGCCTTCGCTGTTGAAGGCTGGATCTTTTACAGCGCCGTGAACTCCGTCGTGCCTCAGATCGTGCTTAACTTAGGATTCGAAAATGATGCCTGGCGAATCTCGGTCCGACAACTCAGCTACCAGCTTCCTGTCTTGTTTGCCTCCGTGCCTATTACGTGGTATGCGACCAGATTTAAGGACTTACAAGCGCCTCTCCTCGTTACTTTTACAATATTTCTCATCGTGTAAGTTAAACTCATATCGTATTTTGGAGCTACCAAGGCAATAAGACAATGAACTGATAAGCACACGTGGGATAGGTCTATCTGCTATGCCACTATCCGGCCCTCGTGGAGCTCTTCACAGCTCGGCTTCAATGTGCTTGCTGGCATTGGTCAAGCAGGACCCCTAACGCTCCTAGTAGCCTGTATTCAGTTCACGGCACCGCACGCTTTCTTATCGACGGCGACGGGCCTCGCTTTTTCTGCACGCGCTATTGGCGGCGCATTCGGGTCCGCTGTTCTAAACGCTATTATCAACGGCCAGCTCGCTAGTCATTACGCAGCAGGTGTTGGAAGCGCAGCTGTAGATGCAGGTCTTGCTACAGACAGTGTGCCAGCTTTGCTGGAAGCACTGGCCGCCGGGCAGATAGGGTTAGGAGTCGACACGGCAACACCTGCGGTCTGGGCTGCAGCCGTCGAGGCCAGCAGATGGCAATACGCTCATGCGTATCAACTGGCGTGGGCCAGCGTGATCCCATTTGTTGTGTTAGCTATCGTGGCTGTGGCTCTGTTGAAAGGCGTAAAGGATTTGATGACGGAAGAGGTCGAGGCTACCGTAGAGCATGTTTGATCATGAACGTTAGCTCGTAAACCCCCAATCTACCAAATAACGGGCGGGAACTTTTAACACGATAGATCGGTGTGGAAATGGTGACCATCTCGGTCAGGACAAAGACTCGGTTTTAGATTAGTTGCTCAGCTAGATGGTACTGAGTCGTGGAATTCTCCTAAAATATAGCTTCAAGTACTGCGTGCTAGAAGGTTTAGTATGTGTTTCCTCACATTGCTTTTGGTGACAACGCGCTTGAGAATTTTACATGTAGGACTGGCATTGCTAATTGGAACGTATCGTGTGTTCGGACCGAATGAATAGCCAAGATGTCTATTGTCAGCTGTTGCGTCCACGTTTAGTGTCTCGATGGACACTTAACACATCTGGGCGTAGAAAGGCTGAGACGAGGTGACTCTAGCTCTTTGATAGTTGCATGTTAGGCAGAGACTAACGGGCATGTGGCAAGTATTTTTATGAGCTTCTTGAAACCCTCCGTTCCGTACCTCTTGGTTGCAAGGCCCTACAGATAGCGTGCCGGTATTATTCGTTCCACGCTTACGTTCAAGACTGATTTTGCGGACGACCATTAAGCCATTTACTCATGTAGGGCCCGTCCAACCAATACCCAAGCTTTCTATAATAGCTTCTCACCCCAACACCACTGATAACGCTGATCTTATCGCTTCCATGCTCATCACGCGCGATACGTTCCGCCTCTTCCATCAGGAGGGTACCGAAGCCTTGATGTTGGAACTTTTTGGGATCTCTAGCATGTACTGGAACGGCAGTTCCGTATACGTGGAGCTCCCTGACCAGACTGGTTTGCTGGCCAGTCAATTCTTCACGGTAGGTGTACTTTTCGGTGCATTTGCGTAAACGAAGCAATGCGACCAAGATATCTTGCTTGGGGTCCTCATAGGCTAGGAAGGTCTCCCACCCACCGTTGGCTGTGTAATCCCGACGAATGAGTTCGATCTGATTCGGCCGAATCTTGTGTTTGACTTCGTTAATGCCAACCTCGCGGGTTCTTACATCGCGACACGTTGTACCGAAATCCTTCATCCGAGCAAGCGCTAATTCTCGGAGATTTCCATTTTCGACACCCGAAGTGACCAGCGGCATCGGAATGTCTCTCTGAACTCGATAAATTCTAGTCCACGGCGGCACCAGCGCTAGTATCCTAGCGACGATGTCGATTAAATCGTTAGGGGTATAATTTTGGTAACGGCCTGTGCGCCATAACTCGTAAAGCCCGGTACCACGAATAACTAGCGTCGGATAGATCTTTAAGCCATCGGTCCGGAATGCTGGATTCTCGAAATATTCTCTAAACTGATCTAAATCGCGCTCCATGCCTACATTCGGTAAGTCAGGCATCATGTGGGAGACAACTTTAAACCCGGCGTCTTTAGCAAAACAGAACGTTTCCGCAACCGCAGCTACGGTGTGGCCTCTGTTGGTATCTCGCGCGACATCCTCATACAATGATTGAACCCCGACTTCTAGGCGCGTACATCCGTAGCGGAGCATATCCGTTAGGTGTGGTTGTAAACAGTAGTCCGGCCGAGTCTCGATGGTAATACCGACGCATTTGACGTTGCTCATCTCACCAGCTTCAACCGCCTCGTCTACGTTCGTCGTTTGATAACCGCTCAGAGCGTTATGCAACTGCGAAATGAACTCCTCTCGGTACGGCACGGGCAATGACATAAATGTACCACCCATTATAATATATTCAACTTTGTCAACCGAGTGCCCGAGAGACTTGAGCTGATCGACACGGCCACGGGCTTGTTCGAAAGGGTCATATCGGGCGCGAATAGCGCGCATGGACGTAGGTTCGTATCCCGTATAGGACTGGGTGCTATATTCGAAGTCGGAGTCGGGTCCACCTGGGCAATAGACGCAAATATTGCCAGTGTAGGCGATGTGAGGACACCTATGCGGCTTACACATAACAGCTACAACGGCGATTCCAGAGGAAGTGCCTAGATATCAGTCAGCAGGGATGAAAATAGTATTTCTTAGGTGTTTTATATATGATAGCGGCATACGAATAGGCTTTGCGATCAGCTTTGGTAAGATATATTTCTTGTAGTGTTCGGGGACGGCGGCGATGATGGCAGTGAGTGGGGGCATGCTGGCGATTTTGTGTTTTCTAGAAAACTTGGAGCGCAAGCTGTTGAGGTTGATATCTCGCTTAGGATTCTTGGGGTCTTTAGAAGCCTCATGGTCCTCGATAAGGGCGTTGGCGATATCAGCGCAGCAGCGCAAGAATCGCTCGTTCTCGGGCGGGAGGTTGGCATCCTTCTTCCGGACGGTTGCTGTTATCGTGGTCGTCGCCATGTTGGAACTTGCGTGTGGCAATTCCGTACCTAGGTATAAACTGCTGGCAGTATATTGAGTAGGTGGCTATATGACTACCTAGGTAGATATGGCCGAAGAAGGTTGGTATAAAGTGAAGTAAAATAAAATATGAGACGAGTAGAAAGACGTAAATACGTAAAGGACTAGTAAGTAACAGTGAAAAGTATAGATGGTGGGGTTAGGAATCTAAAATTCTAAAATTATATTTTATCCAATGAGATTCAATGCAATGACTCTAGAATCTAACCTAGTGGGTACGGAATATATGCATATGTAACCCCGCCATGCGCCTGGCACAGCTGGCGGTCAGGCAGTGATGGAAGCAATACCTGATACCTGCATAACCTACAATACTACATTATGTACCTAGGTACGTGACTGTACATGTCCATATGTATGACCTCAAAGGTTACCTAGGCGAAAGGCAGTCGCGGCTGGTCGCGGGGTTCTACATACACGTACTGACATGTACCTTGCAACTCCTCTCCGTAACTCGCGCCATAACTTGTGGTAACTTATCAGTTTTTGTCTCCAACTCGACCCTTCCCCATTTTCAACTCTTCCATGAATATTGAAAGTCTCATGCGTTCTGAGCTGTCACAGTCAGGGACTGTCAGGTTCTGCAACCTTTTTATTTCACTTGCAGCCTGCACTGTCTTATATCCAATAGGGACTTATATTTGCTTTAAGTAGTAAATAGAGCAAGGCGTTCTCTTGGCTTGCTTCTAGTCCATTCCTCATCATTCTTCATTCCATAACCCTTTTGTCCGTATCTCTACCAGCTTCTCAGCTGCGTTAGCGACAAGTTCATCACACCATATTCTCCGCCGCTAGTTACTACAGCGCGCTTCCTTTTATTTTCTATCTAATACCCTCAACCGAGCGACACCGGGGACTAGGCAAACATGGCAACGAGCAGGATGCGCAGGGTAGCTAAAGAGCTCTCCGACATAAAGGCTGATGCGGATTTATCCGGTATCACTGCCATGCCCGCCGACGGTGACGCGGATTTTACACACCTCAAGGCCCGGATACCTGGTCCTCCTGGCACTCCGTACGAGGGTGGGAGGTTCATCGTGGACGTCAAGATCCCCAACGAATATCCCTTTCGCCCTCCCATTATGAAGTTCGATACCAAAGTCTGGCATCCGAACATTAGCAGTCAAACTGTAGGTTTTTTACCATCTCAATGTGTTGCAGTGTTCTCCGTGCCTACTAAGGAACCAGTTTTGCTAATATATTAAACACGCAGGGTGCTATCTGTCTAGATACTATAAGCTCCGCTTGGTCTCCCGTCCTTACTATAAAGTCGACCCTTCTGTCCTTGCAAGGCCTCTTCGAAAGTCCCGAACCCAAAGACCCACAAGACGCCGAAGTAGCCAAGATGATGATAAATGACAGAGAAGCTTTCAACAATAAGGCGCATGACTGGGCCGTACGCCACGCTCGTGCCCCTCCAAATCCCAAATATCAATACATCCAGCCACGGGCCACCGTCGCGCCACAGCAGGTCGACGACAGCAGGTACGAACCCAAGAAATATGCGATAGGTATTGTAACAAGTAATTAGCTAACCGGCTCCGTAGATACCAGGGCTATAACAAGGATCTTATTGATAGATTCGTCAGTATGGGGTTCGATATCGAGCGAGTTGTAGAAGCCTTCCAATTTGTTGGTATCGATAGACTTGACGGTCAGGATTATGAGCTGGAAGAAGCGTACATGGGTGATATCACGGCTCGATTGTTAGGGGAACCTTAGTACAACAAGACGGTTCGACGACATGCACGCCCAAGTCTCTCATTACCGCTATCATATACCAGTTCATCTTTCTATTTGAGACATCCTATGTTAACCCGCATGAGATTCTCGAATTTCAGCAACAGAATAGGGTTAAATTCGGTGTACTCAGTAGTCAGAAATGTCTTCACAGACTTGCATAAGGAATTAGGCGTCGGGGGTTCTCGGTTATAGTGTGCTACGCTTGCATGAATCAAATTACACAAGTTCAATTACTGCTTTAGTTATGCCTCAGGGCTGTGTTTAGATGTTTTAATTTTATTCACCTATTCTCTTGTGTGTTAGTTCCTTTTATTTTGCAAAGCATGGCCGGCCTGAAGTTTTTGTTCTAATAGCTGGAGACATGTCTAATAATTTTGCTTTGTAATTCGAATCGCTACATACCTACCATGTAACTCTTTCTAGGCTAGGTACTTTCTTCTATAATGTGTATCCGGTAGGGATAAAAGCAACAACCACTGGGAGACTGACACGATACTATGGCCAAAACTCCAGAATGCGGCTTCGATAGGTAGTCATAGAATATAAGGCCAATAGGTAGGTAGTATCTGATGGTGATTTGGATGCCGAGGAACGGCCCGCAGAGCACAACCAAGATGGCGGGTTGTGCATTTAAGGTACCATCTTAAGTAATTCTAGAACTGTTAGTGGGTACGATTCGCCTACGATTCGCCTGCGATCCGAGCTTCCGAGCTAAGGTTTCCCGCTACTTTTAGCAACAAGAGCTAATTACCTAAATTATAGCTACCAGGTACCTTAGAAATAACCACCTAGGTTACAACGTCATTCTTCACCCCAAACTCTCAACTTCACCATTAGTTACTTCTACATTTTCGCGTTTTCGTACTTCTACGCGCCATCACGTATGTCGCGTTCTAAAGTCTAAGACAGTGAGTGCGACTTACATGTAATAACATTTTGAAATTGAAACATCTTCTTTAGGTACATCTACATATCTCCCCGGAAGGTGCTTATCATCTATCTTATGGCTTAATCTTAATATCTTCCACTTTGGTCCCTTGGTCCCTTGGTCCCTTGATCTCTTCTCTCCTGTCTTATTTTCTCCCCATTTCCTGCTGTCTTGTATGCTATGTTCCCAAAGACGCAGTCGCAATAAGTTATCTCTATTAGACAAGTTGTTTACCAAATCCATTCGTTAACTTTCCAAACCCCTGAGTTCACCATTACAGGTCTCTTAGTTTTTTTTTTTTAGTTTTTTTTTTTATCTTCCAATCCAATCCAATCCAAATCCTCCAAGTGATCCAATTCGTGTATCGTGTAATCTTCTAGCCATCGCCCTCCGTAACCTAATACTATCTATTATTCACTCTACATTGCCCACATCTCCTCCACAATGGCAGTTGACGACATCTCATCGAGCGCTAAGGCCAGGGCCAACGAATTGCTCGCCTACGGCCAACATCATGTCGACCGAGTCGTGAGCCCGCCTACACGACAGAAGGCCTACGACTGGATTTACGACTTTTCAACCGAGAAGCCTATTCTATTCGTAAGCTTCATCTAGGCACTTACTAACTTATAAATAATTACGTTGACCCTCTCATACCACTCCTTAGTCTTTTGTCGCCTTTCAATTCACCTTCTGCCTCGCTCCTCTGCTCCTCTTTGCAGGCTTTGCCGCGACAACTATCGCTGTCTCTTTGATCTCAGCCGTCCTGTTCTCGCTCTTTTGGATCGGTGTCGCCACACTTTTTCTTGTGCCGACCCTCTGTCTCATCTCTACCATCGCTCTGCTACTTTGGGCATGGGCGGCCGCCACCTTCTTTGCTGGCCGTTGGGCCTACAATAGGCTACCGTTCAGCGTTGATAAACAAGGAAGAATAGTGGCACACGACAGCAGCGAGAAAAAGATCATCTACGACAGGAAGAACGGTATTGGCGCCGACTTGGACATCAAGGCCGAAGAGGTCGAGGTCAAGGAATAGATTACCGGTGAGGTTTTATGGATGGCGATGGAGCTTGGCTGGTTCATGATACACCAGGGCACCGTGGCGCTGTTGAAACTCAGATTCTGGATGTAGAATTAAATGGGTCGACTAACCCTTCTGTCAACGACGATTAGTAGATCATAATAATGTGCGTTTGCGTCGGCGTTTAGTTCTGGTACAGATACCCGTGGCAATATGCAAGGGAAACGGTTGATGGCCGGTCGAGGATCGTTGGGATGGTCCTGTTTCTAGCACACGTAACCATCGGTATTGAAATACGATATTATCGGTATACATTACGGCCTAACTTGATCTTTTCAGCAAAAGCAGCTCACTTGATCAGGATATCTTATTCGCGGTCCACATCAGTGTGCCAGATATCACCCTATTATCGAAATATTTTGTTACCAATCTTCAAGATTGAAGACGATATACATAATTTACGACGACGGAACCCTAGCAGCTCAACTAAGGCCAGTGAAGACATAATCTATCAGGTCTAAAGTTTATTTACAGCCTTTATATAACCATCGGATATTCATTTCCCTTCCGAGAAGGACACAACAGCCCACTTGCCACTCCACGCCCATTTCCTAGCACCGCTATCTCCACCGCCGCCCTCCGTAGCCAGGAGTTCTTCGTCCTGCCCTGGCTTAAGCCCGACGACGACATCAGCCTTACACGTTCGGAGAGCAAGGACGTTAACCCCCGAGCCGGGCCCGAGGGGTCCAATAGCTTCAGTGAACGGGGTCGAAGGGTCCCATGCAGCCTATTTTAAATCAGTATGCTTAAGTGGCTAAGTAACAAAAGAGCGGATGTACTTACATCACCAGTTAGCTTGCGATAATTCAAGTCGCCCTTGAATATGACCACCTCGCTGCTCTTCAAATCTTCGTATAGACTCTTCTCGACCGACGGTAATCTCCAATAACTACCGGGGTAAGTCCAGAAGCGGTTTGGCCTAAGAATAAGCTGCCCCTCGGCGTACATTTGAGACCATTCCTGGAAGAGGAAACCAAGTTCCGCAGCATCTTTGTCGGAGAGGGCAGAGGGGATTTTATCCTGCAGCTTCTCGTCGTCGGATGGCGTTTCGTAGAATTGCTTAGGGTTTACCAGGGCATTAAGGAGAGCAGCAAAGTCGGCTGGCAAAACATCCGATACAAACCAGGGAATCGACTTTGGGTGAAGGACAACGAGGGTAGCTAGTCCTGACGACAACAGGAAGCCGGCGAGGATAAGATCGACGTATAATTCAAACCCAGCATTATCCAACACAATGTCTACGCGACGCTCCTTTTTTCCTTCGGACTTGGCCTTCTTCAACACATCATACGTCGCGCCTAAATCATTGACGAGGATGTTCTTCTCAGCAGCCTTTCTGGCCTCGGAACCTTGTAGCTTCTGGATATCCTCGTAGGTGAGACTGGTTAGGAGAGATAAATCCGTAGCGTTACCCCATAAACAGATCTCGCACATCTCCAAGAATAGAATCTTTTCGGCCTCGTCGTGCTCAGCGCTAGTCGAGTTCCCATCGTTTTTTATCTGCGTTACCAAGTCCTTGTACCGAGCGGCAAGCTCGATAACAGCGGGTCGAGACGATCGGAAGGTCTTGATCTTCTGCCGGTAGAATACATCATAGGTCTTCCAGTGCTTAGAGAGGCTGAAGGACGTATTAAGACGTCTATGTTTCCCGTCAGCGCCATCTACCACGGGTCTCGACGGGCATAAATAAGGCAATCATTATACGTTCTAGTACCTGTAAAGATAGCATTCGGAGAATAGCCAGGGGACGTTGAACCAGCTAGGTGTTCCTAACTGCTCCAACTCACGGTTATATATGGCTACATCGGCGGCGCCATCGTCTCTTATCGGTCTAAGTCGAGAGTTAACATGACTTCGTCATCGATCAAATTGGCACGCCCACGCGCGTTGGGACATACGTGAGCTGTCGGTCGTGTTGGAGTTCGTATTTGAGGCGCGCGAGCTCTTCTATGATCTTCTTGCCCTCGTTCTGCTTTTCGGGCTCTTCACACTCGGATACCGAGCGATATAAATCGTCAATAGCTTGAGTCTTAGCAGTTTCAAGTTAGTTGAGCATCGCCAGGTTTTCCATTTTTGTAAACTGACTATTATAACAGGCCATCGATCTCGAGCGGATACGTAGGCGAAAGAGGACTTGTCGCTCGTTAGATATGGAGCTGATGGAGGACGAAGGAAAGGTTAGCCATAGATTATTGTACAATAGTTATACAATTATAAAAGCAGTATGCAAGAGGAAGGAATCGAGATTCTTACGAGTCTTGGTGTCAAACTCCATTTTGATAGTAGAATAAGTTAATTATCTTGAATGCGCTTTGGAAATATTAATATTGAACATTATGTCACTTCACTTATACCGCGCAGCTAAATATTAAAGCAAATGGCGGGGCATCTGGCGGGACATCCTGGCGGGGTACCTCCGACATGAGCTACACTCAGATGTACCCAAGTACCTAACCTAATCTTAGATCAGAACGTTACTAAGATCCGACAATGCGGTCCAACTCTATTTATCCGTCGGAGACATTTTTTACGCTGGAACTCTTGGAAATTATTATGCGAAATTGATAAGGAAATGATAAGGAAATGATAAGTAATTGATAAGTAATTCATTAATAAATGATAAGAAAATTGATAAGAGATTTGATGTTTCCGACGGATTCTCACGTGCGAGCCTGCGAGCACGTGAAAACGCTTGCGCGAGCTTGCGAGTGCATGCGTTTTCCTAAATTTTAAATATTTATGTACTCCGTACGCTACCTCATGTAAGTCTATGAAGTTCCCCTCCAAGCATATGAGTTACCTAGGTAGGTAGTATAATGAAAGAGTCGGTAATCTATTTTGTTTGACTATATTCTTACATTTAAATTAAATTATTTATTTTAAAAGTATTTAACCCTCCCAAACCAGGTGGTTTAGTTACCATTAATCTTTCCCATAGTAAAGATGTAAGTCAAAGCTGATTCTTGGTGTACTAACAACTCTAGCTTTTGCCTTGGCCGTTCAGTTAATTATGTACTCACCTATGTAGCTAGGTACCTAAGGTAACCCATAATACAAACACATCTTCCGCAGGCTTTAACCTATTTCTTCTCGCCAAGATACCGTCTTATAAGTGTGAAAACATACACAAGGGCCAACGCAGCAACGTAGAAAGATCACGTCTATCTCTCTAGTTTTGAGTCGAGCCCCAGCTTAGGACTTACACCACTTGCCCGCTAGTTCTAACTGTTATCTGCTCGTTCTACAATTCTGTCGCGCCTAGTAGCCTTAAAGGGTTACCATTATCGAAACTAAAGAGTCGACCCCAGTATCATTGCCTCAAATCGCACAACACAACTGATTCCATTAAATACCCTACCTCAGCCCTTACGATCTGTACTACTTAAATAGATATCTATAATTTATATTACAATAAATTGAGTTGTTAATAAGCGTAGAGGCTTTTACGACCCTTTAGTTCCATAGTTTTGTAAGCACAAGACGTTTGATTTGCCACAATAGCTTACGAGTACATCGCCCTTCCCTCCTTAATGGGCAAGTCCAATAATTATATACCTCGCTCATACGAACGCTGAGGAGATTGCAGCCTGTGATGAGAAATCTGATTGGTAATTTTATGTGTCAGTTCCATTATTACATAGCGGATGATGAGTACCACTGTAAATGGCTTGTCAAGGAATCGGCAAAAACGGCTCTCGAACTATTCTAAAACTAAGATCAAAACAAAAATTGGTTTCCCGTCTAGTATAGCTTGCTATACGAGGACTATTTAATCCATGTATAATTTACTAAACCTGATCCTCTAACGCTGTATTCGTATCCTATGTTGATCATAATGGTTGGTCCTCACGAAAGAAAATGCTAGTTATAGAATACAGGAATAATACAGAAGGCTAAGAGACCTATTCGATCACTGTCTAACAAATATTACAATTAATATGTAGGCAAGCCTCTTAATCACTTCCCTTGCCATCCAAAGGCATAATACTCGCCCAAATCTCGGGAAGGGCTCCCTCGCATAAATATCAAACAAAGCAAACTTGACGTCTGCCATATTTAATGCCAATTATGACTAATGCCAAGATAGTAGGTACTAACGCAGCAGAGGGAAAATAGAGTGTAAGTGCTACTGTAGGACCGAGACCCGTAGTGTACAGCGTAGCTACGGCGTCGAAGCGACGTGGAGCGGCGGGTAGATGATGCTACGTAGTACCTGGTGTATCCGAATACCCAGGGCACAGACCAGACGTTAACCGTGATAGGTCACAGACGCCGCTTACTATCGTATGCAGCAAGGATTCTCCTACTAGCCTTACACAAAGACCACGGGCTGCACGGGAAGACCCCCACTCCATCATCTTATCAGATGATCTGATAAAATTTGCAGTTCTCGATCGTCGGGGACAAGTAGGGAGATTTCGGAAGGTGTCAAGATACTCTGTTCGGCTGCCGGCTTTATTGCTTTTTCAGGGGAAGCGTCTTCGACAAAGTTCCCGTTCGGATCCGTTCTTCGGCCGCCGGCACGCTGCCAACATACTTGTAAAGCCTAATATCATAATATCATATGTTAGTCCTTTCTAGCTGAGATCTAAGTAGCGATTGTAGGCTTGAAGTATGTAAGTAGGGGTAAAATTATACGGTGTTACGAGATCTGTATAATCGTAGTTTGTAGGTATTGATCACAGGTACTTAATAAATACCAGTAGCCAGCCTCCCTTCTTGATTTAAATCCTCTTCTCCCATGTGTCTGCGATTTGGATAGGAAGATAGATACGCACAATTCACAACGGCCCGGCTTGCAATGTCGACCATATCTCCTGCTGAGGCCCATGCCTCTACCGGTCGCGATATCGAGAAAGACCTTTACCCGGCCCAACCTGCGACTGAGGTACCCGAAGGCTCCAAGACTGAGTCAGACGACGACTCGGCGCACGTACAAGATGGTGTCAAACGGGTTGAAGCCATCACTACCGTCTGGTCGAATAAATCCTTATGGTCTACTTTCGCTCTGTAAGCTATAAATTTTAACACAAACTCCGTGCAGTCGACCTCTAACAATTGTAGCCTTTGGCTTGTATCCTTCGTGTCTGCGCTGCTCTCGTCTATCGATAGTTCCCTATCTCCATATGTCACGTCTTCCTTCTCCAGGCACGGCCTACTAGCGGTCATCAACATCGCTGCTAGAGTGATCGGTGGCGTTGTCACACTTAGTCTCGGCAAACTTATCGATATTAGGGGACGTATGGAGGGTTTTGTGGGATCATTACTTCTAATCACTGTCGGTATGATCATGAAGGCGACCTGCCAGAACGTCGAGACATATGCCGCAGCTCAGGTTTTCGCCTGGGTCGGCAGCGTTGCTCTTGGTTTTGTTATCGATGTCTTCGTAGCCGATATTACTACGCTGAAGAACCGAATGTTTATCTTCGCGCTCAACTCGACTCCCAACCTTGCGACTACTTTTGCCGGCCCTCGAATCGCCGAGCTATTCTACACCAAGGTCAACTTCAGATGGGCATTTGGTGCCTTCGCCATTATCTTACTTGGGGTATCTCTACCAGTGGTTGCTATCCTTTTCTATCACGAACGGAAGGCAAAGAAGTTAGGCCTGCTGCGCCCGAAATCAGGTCGCACGACGATACAATCTATTCTACATTATACCATCGAGTTTGATAGTAAGTTACAAAAGGATTTCAGAGGGGATGTTTTCGATACTGACCGGTTGTGTCCTATCTACCTCTTAGTTATCGGTGCGATTTTCGTGTCGGCGGGATTCACACTCATCCTCCTCCCATTCAGTCTTGTAAGCTCGGCTTCCCACTCGTGGAAGAGCGCAAGCGTAATTGTCATGATCGTCATGGGAGTGGTCAGTCTCGCCGCATTCGCGGTTTGGGAGAAGTTTTTCGCTCGTGTCAAGTTCTTCCCTTTCGAGTTTCTAAAGGACAGGACTTTCTTGGGCGCTGTACTGGCGTATTTCATGATTTTTATGACAACCTTGTTAGTCTCCTCAATATTCTTGTCCTATTAAATAACCCGATCAGCTCGATGCTAACACTTGGAACAGTATATGGGATGCTTATTACAGCTCTTACCTTCAAGTTGTCCACGGCCTCAGTATCAGTATCGCGAATTACGTGCTCAATGCTTACTCTCTTACTTCGTACTTCACCGGTCCATTCATTGCCTTGTAAGAGCACGAGAACCCTTACTTACCAAGGAGCCTGCTAATGCTATCATCTTCAGATATATTCGTTATACCGGTCATGTCAAGTATCCTGCTCTGGCCGCTATCCCCATATATATACTGGGTACCGCTCTGATAATATATTTCAGAGTACCCGGCGCTCAGGTCGGCTATCTCGCGATGTGCCAAGTGCTTGTCGGTTTCGGTGTGGGCGTGATTAATCAGATGTCTCAGCTCATTACCATGGCATCCGTTAGGCACCAAGATGTTGCCGTCGCCCTTGCCATTTACGGCCTATTTGGCTCTGTCGGCTCTTCTATTGGTTACGCTGTTGCGGGTGGCATTTGGACGAATATTCTTCCGGTCAAGCTATACGAATTCCTCCCCGAGGATAGCAAGAATATGACTGCTGAGATTTACGGAGACATAACAAAGCAAATGGAGTATCCAATCGGCACACCGATTCGGGACGCCGTCATCGAAGCATATGGTGATGTAATGAGGAAGATGATTATTGTCGGCTCTTCACTTATTCCTTTGACAATTATCTGTGTCATCGTTTGGAGGAACATTAACGTTAAGAAGCTTGAGACGGTTGAGAAGCGATCCAGGGGAAATGTATTCTAAGGCTTGTATCTATAGGCGTGATGTCGTGGTCTATTGTTTGGAAGTCTTTCGTACACGCGCGACGCCTATTTTGGGCATCGTATAATTAACATGTCATCTTGGGATGCAAAGATTAGGTAGAGACAATAGAATCCTTATCATATACATATACACACATACCTACCTCCTAAGGGTTTGCCTCCCAATGCCATCTGAGATTTAGCATCAACATAAGCGCAGGGTGGTAGTTCAAATACAGCATCTGTTATGACCAAATCTATAACATGATCGCGGAAGACCCCTATAAGGGTTTACAATTCGCCAGTTCCAAGACCGACAACTGTTCCTTATATGATTGTATGCGGTTAGAAAAAAAGAAGTATTCATGACAGGGAAAATCTATCCAAAACCTCACTGGTTCTATGAGCGGACGACGCCATGAATTTTATTACTGCATTGTTGAATTATATAACTGAATTAGGGAGACGCAGTCATAACATGGCTCGGGGCTTCAAGCATTGCATAATAGAACATGCCTTTCGTTATAGCACTCAATATAAAACACAATATCTATCATACATGACATTTCCAGGGTATGTCAGTGGTTAATAACGACGTATGACAATTACATGATCACGGCGAGATACTGTGATGTTTCACGTTAATGTGTTCACTTGAATATAGCTTAAGTTGGTCGCGAGGGGCCACTATATCAATTGTCTTCAGGTCATAGCAACACATACAATTCGGAATACGGAATACTCGGTGGCTACAAAGATTCTAGTACCACTAGTCATGAATGACTCAGCTGGTGAAGCAAGACAGCGAGTATTACATAAATAACTACTTTCCTGCTTCCTTGGATCCCATGAGATGGGCCTCCATCTTGGCAAGTCTACCTATCTAAGGTATGTTTTTTTTGAATTCTTCGCCTAAGGTTGAAGCTTTTACCGGAACGATCCAGAGCTCATTCTTCGCAATTTTGTCGCTGATTTATTTATCTGATATTCAACAATACCTTCTTAAAAAGTTCGGTCAGTTCGAGGTCATAGACACGGTAGGCGATATTTGAATAAATTTATTTTTATATTCATTTCGTAGAAGCTCTCGGATCACGATCTATGACTGTCTTATGTTTGTCTCGGGCTTCATGTCTATAATAGCAATGACTCCTTATTGTGAGCACCCATGAGAAACTACCCCGTGTGTATATTACGCCGCGGCCAGAAACAATATGTTGGACAGTAGTTGACAGTTATTCAGATGACACGCGAGATTTTTGGTAATGTATCATGTGAATATCGTCGTATGGGATGATATTGGCCTTGGCTACTATATGGGAAGTCTGGGAGTTTCCTCGTTTGAGGCCGAAATGGGTACACGAACAGTTCAGCCCTTGAGAGAAATTCAACCGACAAGAAGCCAGGTTGGGTACCCAGATATCAATCTAAAGCCGTACAATTCTATAAAATCTCCTCGATGGCCATGATGAGGTTCTAGCTACCAAAATCCTTCAATACGATTATCATCTTCTCCCTATTCCTTATTGTTAAGAAATCTACGCAGGGCGAGCCATTGAGGCAAGCCACCGTCTTTGTGTATCGCAAAGCTTCCCGTTAACTCATATCATGAGCTTATAATTCTTGACATCTTATCTGCGACGCTAAGAGCCTCGAAGACTGGCCCAGAGCGTCCAAGTACCCAGGCCACATTTTCGTGTCATGCAATAGTTTAAACCGCCAAAGGACTAAGGATTGATCCTGGTGGGAGCCTTATTTACCCGGTCCTTACTCGTGGTCTAAGATATCCGTACGCTAATCTGAACCGAGATTGATGTTAAGCACTCCAAGAAGGAAATATGTGTACATATTATTACCTCCATTATCACCACTTGGCCCCTTGCACCCGGAACATCGAGTACGCAATACATTACTCTTTCTGTCCAAATTCGGCGCCCATTACCTTGAGTTTGAGTCCTCCGAGTTCTGTTGGCGCCGGCAATGTCGAAAATGGCGAGCAGTGGATCCAACAGCCATGCGAGGCGCTTACTTACGCTCCAGAGTATAACCCAATTGAGGGCCTAGACTACAGTAACCCTTGCGTTGCTGGGGGCTGCCTTGTCTCACAGAAATGCAGCGCTGGTAGCTGCAGGCTGGAGGATGTCGGTGGGTGCTGGATTTGCTGCCAGTGTAATCGCGGAGGGAATACCCTCAGGTGGTGCATTCGTCCAATGAAGAAGATCCCCGATGCTCTTTGCTATCATTCCATATGTCAGAACTGTCGTCCGGATCATGGATAGAGAGTATACGTGCAAAGGGGAGTAAAGGGGAGTTAAGGGGAGTTTGATGACTCGGACAGAAAGCCTGTCGTTTTGCTTGGTATAACCTTCTTGCGGTATCCCCTCCATCACTTATCACTTACAAGATCTCTTTGATTCTTTCTCTCCTTCTTATCGAGGAGTTGGGATAGAAAAGCCAAGATGATCCTCCTTACTGTTAAGAGTTAGGAGAGTGAGACCCGTGTCGAATTTGGGAAGTCATGCTAGATTATATTGGTTGCATTATTGGGTTCTCATTACGAGATCGGCGACTTCGCCACGTGGTAGCTGGATCTTATGTATGACAGCTTTTGATAGTTGCGCTCGCCTTGTAGAGCCCCTTGAAGAATATTTTTGCTTTTCTAGAAGTAATCTGTCTTTCCACACAAATGTGGCTTCCCGAGCGATCGTACATCATCTTGCGTGTACCCCAAGCGCCCCTGGATATTGGTACCGCGCGGATGGTTGCTTCACCCAGGTCTCTGGATCATCCGCCGCGTGGACCAAAGTGTCGGGACGTGATTCGACTACAGTAGGCGAGCACACAACGCTATAAGCAATGATCGCAATTTTACACGTGGGTTTTAGTTCAATAATTCCAGATTCATAGAATAGATGGGTACGCTTAGATTTGGTCGCCGACGTCTGCAAATAAACTTCGACTGATCTACAGGTATATTCTGAGAATAAGATACAACAAGAACTAGGCACGTTCCATTGTACACTACGCAAAAACTAGGACGAAGCACAGGTAGTCCCAGAAGAGATAAGAAGCACGCATGTGCCGGCCGCCCAAGTACCAAACAAGACTCGACGTAAACAATATGACATAGTTCTACTCCATTCTTCCCATTCTGTCTAATAGTATCCGAAGATTCCGAAGATTCCTTCCAAGAAACCGCATAGTCATATCATGTGTACCGAAACAGCCTATACGCTCCGGTGCGAGCACGTCGTTACCCGAACCCTCTACTGCTCGGATGCTCCCCCTCCATCTCGACAGTCACGCAAGGAACGGAGGACCTGTAACAGGGTCATTCGAAATGCCGTGCCTTGGCCACCCCCACCACAGTTTGGGACACAGGCCACATGCCCCTTGACGAACTGCCCCTTCGAGGAACGAGGAGGTTATTGGAACTGTTGCTGGTGTGGTAAGGAGTGGAATGACCAAGGCAAGTCGATACCATAATTCTCATCAAGAATCAAGGCTTTCCCGCGGTTTCTAACGTTGCCTTAGGTCGTTGTAGTTGTGTGATGATTATTGACAGACAGGAGTATCGCTGTGGGCATATTTGCTGTGAAACATGCGAAGCGGCTACTGAGGCTTAGCAGGGAGGAGGGCTACAGCAATAAAAGTCCTGTGTATTAGCGAATCTTGGAAGGAAAAGTTCACTGTTTGGGAATCAGGCCTCGATATTCAGCTCTACGAATAGGAGGAGGCCATCTTTGCATAAAGAGATGACTTCAATTCGTGGATTAGTTTCGGGTATATCCTCATTGAAGCTGTGTAAGATACGATGATTAAATGTGGCGGACCTGAATGAAAGATTAATATTTCGTTACGGGAGCCACAGAAAACAAAATAGGAAGGTAATTTAAAAGCAATAACATTGCACTCCAAGAGCCGTACAAGAAAGAAAAGATAAAAGGGGAACTTGAGCGTTAGAATATGGCGGACGTGTTGTTCATAGCCCACGATGGTCTTGAGTATTAGAGTACCCCCAGCAGTTTAAATAAAACTAAGAATATCGATCCGGAAGAGAGTTGAAAGTCGAAGAGAAGGTCTATTTAGGAAGTAGTAGATGTGGAAGATTGCCAGCCCGTAAGCGAAAAAAGTAATGATCCTCGACCAACCTAATCCGGGTCCCGGGTCTCTGGTCGATCGCAGAACCGTACATAACGCCACAGTAACTAGAACACCTTCCGGGTCTCAGTCTTGAAAAGCAATTTGCTGGGTCGCCCAGATCGTGTGAGATCTATATCCACTCAGGTCCACCCGTTCGGCAATATACGGTGTCGTACATGATGCACATGTGTGTCAAGTAACCAATAGTGAGTCCGGCTAAGGGGGAGGAAGAATAAGCATAGATGGGCTGACCTAGCAGGAGCGCGAATATCGCGATTGGACTGTAGGCTGCTGCTGGCGGCGTCATAGTCGCACTAATTCACACTGCTACCCGAGACAAAGATCTGTACCTCGCCCAGGTCGCTGCCATCGCTCCTGGGTCAAGGGAACACGCTCGCCAATACGAAGGAGAGAGCTGCTGATCCTTGCCCCCGGAAATCTTTCTCACTCGACGTGTTGCAGAGTTGGGGCGTCTTTCTTGTGACGCACCAGATAGGGGGGGATGTGTGTCTTCCTCATTATCGACACAAGGATGATCGAGGCTGGAACTTTGTGCGTGGGAGGAAAAAGACCCAACAGGCTACCAGTACTCACGTCGCTCCCGGAGAAATACATAGGTTCCCACGAGTACAGGTGAGTATATATAAGAGGTTGAAGATGTCCGGGACTTGGGTTGAGATCGACCAGTTCGTCCTCTCCGGCAAAACACTAGCCTCGTAGTCGTGTGCCGTCATATTTTAAGTCTTCACACCAAAAACCGGCGAAAATGTGCCACGGACACCCTCACTATCATCCCTGCTCTCACACATCGGTCAAATGGCTGTACTGTCCGGAAGCCATGTTCGATCTGGACACGGGATATGAGACACCCTGCTCGAACCCGATCTACTCAACACCGCAGCCAACCAACGTCGACTGTCCCCTGCAGAACTGCAACTTCAAGGCCCTAATGGGGAGCTGGATTTGCTGCGTCTGCGGGAAAGGTCCTAATACCCAAGGGTGGTGCACCTCGTTAGGCCGCAGGACGGATTGGAATCCCCTAACAAGAAAGGTGGAGGAGATGGAAATGCCTTGTGGGCATGGTTGCTGCAGCTCATGCAGCCCATCCTGTGAGGGTATGAACTACACTGCCGTGCATATGGGAATAGATCCTCCTGACTATTCATAGCGACGTCGCGAGGCGTGAGTCCGGAAATATCGTTCGCGGAAGTTCGAAAGGCGAAGAGTAGCCGCAAGGCTCATAATACCGCGCGAGGCTCCGTACACAAGCGAGGAACGGCGTACGACTTCAGCCACAACAACGTGAGTCGTCCCGCCGTGTCAGAGGATAGCGAACCAGTCACTTCGTCGACAACTTCAAGCTCCCGAGGATCCCGTCGACCAAGCCACGACACGAGCGCCGAATATTCGAAGAAGCCAAAAATAACAAACGGGAAGAAGAAATCACACAACAAGGGTCGCAGCATCCATCATTGAACTGTATGTATACACGAATCTATACAAATGAGGAAAGAAAAGGACCGTAGTCTCTACTGGCTTTTAGGTTAACAGTAGACCACAATCACTCGGTATAACAGTCAGTTACGGATGGAAACGTTGTTAAAAGATAGTACACTCATAGGGCTGTATCGTATCCATAGCATACATGCGGAGAGAAAGGGATATCTGTGAAACGTACCCTATACATTACTTTATCCTACTAGTACGCTTGATCGGTTGATATCTTGCCGCTCTCGGACTTTAGCAAGAGTCGTACTAGATACTAGATATACGATTAGTCAATGATGGTGGTTGAACCCGTCGCGTTAGCCATCCCAAAATGTATCATGTATTTTTTCAGCCCTCGCCGTTTATGTAGAGTGTGCCCCCCGTTCGTAGAGATGTCATTAGCATATGCGGTCAGCTTCTTCTCAGCACTACCCTGTTCTATGCGAGATAGATCATAGGGTTGCCGCCAAACTGCCCTCAGCTCTCGCTAATTTGAACCAGGTGTGGCCAAGGAACCCGTATCGGTTTCAACATGAGTACTACCTTTCGTTTAATATCCACCAGCTGAGACAGTAATTCGTCTTTGATAAAGGAGAGTCCCTATTCGCTCCAAGTAGCGGGTCGCCACTGACTGTAACCGGCTCACCGGTAGCAGAGTGAGACCAGATGAAACTGGGGCTGTTGCCAGCTACTCGGGTCTATTATGAAGCGTGAAAACTTGTTGGTTTCCGCAACATAGAGGCAAATGTCTGGTATGGTAGATGAGAAAATGCTCTGGGACGCAATATCTAGCAACGCGCAAGGAGTTACATTGCCCACACGAACACTGCACCCTACCTTAATAGGTACCTCCTAGATAAGTGCTCAGCAAATACATAGGATACGTTTGGCAGCGGTTCAATTAAGAATTACAGCTTCGCTCTAGGTCTTAGTCGCCGATTAGGAGCTTAATATGAATAACCGAATATATAGGTATATATATATATATATATCTGATCCGGGGTCTCGCGGCAAAGCTGACTACTTCACAGGTAACTTCAATACGTTACGGACGTTAGTTAACAGACATGACGGGTCAAGGCATTATTGGAAGGTGAGTGTAAAGAAAAGCTGTCCTACAAGTATGTATAATGTGAAATGAAATATGACTGCATACCTTCGTCTCCTATTGCGCGATGTGTATAAAATACCCCTTGCCATCCGGAGGCTGTCAATAATACCCCAGGGTTACATTCAGCTTACCTTACCGCCACGTGCGCAACATGCAGGTCTGACGAAAGCTGTGAGATAGGCTGGACCAGACAGGGATCCCTTGGCCGTATGTTCTGTAATTGGCAGCGATCCAAACTTTTGATAGCGAAAATTGGCTATTCCTTAGGCCTGGTTGGCGGGTTGACGGGCTGGCGAAGTGATAACTCTCTCCCTGCATGTTGTCTGCGAGTGTGATACATTACATATTCAGTATCATTTCCGTTTATGAAGCCGCAAGTCGCATATCATCACCTATCCCGCGGTAGGGGCCCCCTCAATTAGGATTGGGTTAGAGTCTACATACTACCCCTCGAATTGTCGTCGGTTAGACTTCATTACCTACCTAGGTTAAACGGGATTCGTTGGCGGATCGACATGATGATCATTGGGCCACGTGCTGGTCCATGGAACTCTTCGCCAACAAAAGATAACGAGGGAACGAGGGGGGAAGAACCTTGTAGACATAGGTTGCCAAGCAAAAATACGTCCGGCGTTAAGGTTATAAATCTGCCTTGGCTAGTATACTTGGGTTGTTCGGTATGAATGATTCTAGGTTAAAGTACCTAGGTAAGGTAAATACCCATAATATGAACTATTATCGTGAGGCATTTTTATAGTGTAAATATTTAATATAGTTATTTACTACTTATACTAGCATGAGTTACTTAGCAAGTCTACTAAGGTAGGTAGCTAGTGTATGTTCTCACGCGTGTAGCAGTAACCGCAGGATCTAATAGTGCAGTCGTCATGTTGTTGCATGATCAGCACAATCCGAGCTCAAGAGAGACTTTGGGCGGAGTCAACCAGGTACCATTTTGTCTGAACTTCCATTTCTGCACAAGAATCCGCGTGGGGTATTGTGGCAAGAATACCTACCTTACATACATATTATGAGGTAGTATAATGCATGTAAAGAAAAACGGCACGCGAGGCCACGACGTTCTTGAAACAAGATAAGAGAGCGGTTAAGGCTCTTAATAAGATCTGCTGCTCTTAAGAGGTATTTTCTTATTCATAACATATATACAAGGTAGGTATGTACCTAGATAGCCTAGTCATGAATCGGTGAGCCTCCCTGGCCGCTTGGTAGCTGACTGCATGCATTGCATGTGGCCGAGCGGCGGGCTCAAAGCCATGTGGCCGCCGTTCCTCCTAGCGGGACAAGCTGGGAGATGGGAAACATAACTCCAACTGCTTTTCAAATCCCATACATAGTAGATTCTATTTAAATAATTATATAATAAGTTAGGTACCTAAGGTAGTAAATAATGAAATTAATCAATGCAATACGCCTATGTCTACGTCAGCTAGGTAGTATGGTATATATTGTATTGTATTAAGTCTACGAGTTATTATTATGATTATGATATAATACCGCTCTGATCGCTTTATGATGATCTATCAGCTTGCCTCGCAAGGGTTCCTTAGGTTAGGTAGGCTGGACAATAACCTTGCAGCCTTCGTAGCACAATTTACACCTAACATGGCACTTACATACATAGTAGCATTCCCACGGCTCCCACCAGTAATCTGCATTTTAACGACTTACACACCACCACCCTCCCCCCTTTTTTCTGTGTGTATGTTTTACTGTCTAGATTCCGTGCCCTTTTTTTTCTTACTGCTTAGCAACCCCTATTCAATATTTTTTTTGTTCGTAACTATTTCTATCGTGTGATATTTATATAGTTACTAGTTGAGAACCAATTCATTTTTCCTCATACAGCAAACTACTCAATTGAGAGGCATCAGGTCATTCCATACCTAATCGATTCAAATCCCGTCTTCATCCGTTCCATCCCTGCATAGCGCCGTTTCGAACATCGAATCCACCACACCATTACCGCCATTACCACCGTTACTACCACTTTATCACTCTACTACTCTGCCACTACTCTGCCACTACTCTGCCACTACTCTCACTATTCCCACTTCCAGACGAACGCTATTCTTCAGTCAGTATTCGCACTTAAATCAGTCATAAAAACCGGCTTGTCGTAACCAACCCTCCACGAAGACAAATCGATATTTAGTATATACATTACCTATACATACCTACCTAGGTAGACCTCCCAGAAAAAATGCCTACATCGTTAGATTCGTCGCGCCCTATCATGGCGCCTTCTACTGTACGTAATAAAAGCCTTTTTTTTTTCTCTTGTTATTATTATCTCATTCTAATCTTACCTGGCTCGTGTTTCGTCAGCCTAATCTATTAACCAATGTAGTTTGATCAATGATCTTGCGTATTTATTATTTCATAATATAGAAGAAGAAAAAACAACAATCGGGAGATATGAAGAACTAACACGCGCCATTCAAAATATAGGTCGGCTCCCCCCGCGCATCAATGCGCTACAGCACATATAGCACAGCGCCGTCATTGGCGGCAACAGTACGAACGAACGATTCGGCGCACGCTGAGATTCGCGAAATCGAATCCGGGCTCATGCGCATGGAGAATAAGGCTCTGTCAAGTCAGCGCGTCATCCTGTCCGAGGAGAAGTCAGCCAACCTCAACAAGCTCGCCCTCGGTGCTAAGCTCGATCGTGCGCTTGAGCGTCGCATGACTAGTCAAGATGCCGTTATGAGGCCAAGGAACCGAAGCGTGCGCGAGAAGGATCCGGAAAAGCAACTTTGAGGGCTACTGTAAATCGACAAGGAAACGAAATAAACCGAAACGAAAAGCAAGTAATTAAAGGACGTTGGAGGATGATACCAGGCGAGCGACAGCTATAGCTCTAAAGCATTTCCTGTTATTGTTTTTTATGTTGTCGTCGTTTTATCTCATTGTTAGTTGGTCTCAAAGATGGATTCGAGAGGCCGACATATCATTTCTATTCAAATCTTTACCTTCGGGCCCGAGACACGCAGGCCGATCCAGCAATCCGGCCTGAGGAACGGAGTTTACGACAGGATCAAGTCCTTTCACAAATCCAAGTCAGCCTACTAGTTGTCTATGACGGATACGATAGATGAGGCGTATCTGGGGGAGGGGGTGTTCGGCTGGAGCTCGATATTAAAAGGTAATATCAGAAACCCTGGGAATCATCTTCCTAAGTTGCAGCCCATCACTAGATGGTTAGGAAGCATGCATAGCGTAGATTGTGGAAGAGGCTAGAGAGGGAGATACGAGATAGAGACTGGCATGTTTTATCCATATTTCAGCAGGTAATCTACTTGCATGTCAAAATTGTCCTTTCCCCAGCCCCTCGTGTGATCCAGTCCTTTAGGTATCGGCAAGATTCAAGGTCGATGAGGGACGATATAACAGAGTCTGAAGGAATGATATATACATGGACTACCGCCCAACTCCCTAAACGCCTTTAGAGTGAATACCTGATGTGCATAAACATGACCTAATCTTCATGAATAGGTCGAAACGTAAAACTTGAAAAGAAAAGCAACGCCAGTGTACACCTCAAGAATTACTCTTCTCCCCCAATCTCACGTTAATGTCCTTCAACAAGGCGACCAGCTCGCCCTCGTTGCCTTCCATCTCCAAGCCCTTACTAACCCATTCCTTGGCCTCGAGCAGCCGTCCCATCTCCGCCAGACACTTGCCCCGCCTCCACCAAGCCTTCGAGTTACCAACGCGCTTGGCCTCGACGCTGGCCTCAGCATCGGCGGCGCCCTCAGCCCAGTTCTGCAGACCCATATGAGCCTGGGCGCGGTTGGCGTAGAGGGCAGCGACCTCTTCGCGCACCAGCTGCTGGGGTTCCCACAGCGGCCGCGTCAGGGCCATTTGCAAACCCAAGGTGTAGAATTTAACGGCGTCGGCGTGCTTTCCCTTGCGGTATTCGGCGTTGCCGCTATCTCGCAGTTTGCTAACGTTGGCCGACCGCTTCGGGTTCACGGGGAGCGGCGGGGGCGGTACTTGGTTCGGCGTGTCGAGCGCGAGGAGAGAGCGGTGCAGTGCGTTGAGCGAAGCTAGCTCGGATTGTAGAGAGCGAGAGCCGGATAGCGCTGTTACTGCCTTGGTCTGAGGGTCGATCTGCAAGGGCAGCATGGTGAAGGTTTCGAGGTCTGAAGACATGTTGGCGGTGCGGGTTTGGGATTACCAATAAAGAATTGATGTTGGACTAGTTAATTATTCGGTACGAAGTAGGGGATCTAAAAGTAAAAGTAAAAGTATAGAACTCTAAACTCGGATCGCGGATGGCGGTGGGTTGGGCAGCGACGAATTGGTGATGTTCTTGGAGAGCTCTTATTAAATGCGATCTGGCGACTTTTACAATTGCGTCGCTGCAGGCGAACATTAGGTACATAACGTATGACAGATGCATTGATAGGAAGCCACCTGGCAAGATAAGAATTGCACTACGGATCTGTGGCTTGGCATTGTACCTTAGCTCTTAAGAGGTACCTATGTACATAGCTACACGCACATACCCCTTGCGTACAAACCGCAGACCGCGTTTTAGTTTAAACCTTCCATCTTCTCTTCTACATTTTACTTCTTAACATGTACAAACATAATATATCTCTTAGTCGTAAGAGAAATATATTCGAACTCATTCAAGGAATGCAGTCAATATAGTACTCATGGTTCGTGGAAATCCCAGCTGCCAAGTCCATGCCGAAGTATGCTGGCAAGCAACTATCGTCACATTTGTCCCCCTTCGAGAGCGCAGCAATACGATCCCCAAGATGATATATATAAGTGTAGGTGCATCCCTTCCCATTTCTACCGGCTAAATGTCTTACGTGGATGCCAGTTCTCTTCAAACATCTGCGACACGAAGTAAAGGTCGTGCTCCCACTCCAACTCCTGCTCTGCCACTATATATCATTCGTCAGTCAGCACGAAGGTGTAGATACCTAAATTACTAGGAGGTGAAGGAGCCGTTTCTTAAGCTGGAAAGCCGAGATGCTCACCTTTTCCATAGGCCTCATGCGTTTCGATCAATAGCTGTGCCTCGTCGTGCTTCAAAGTTCCCCAGACCGCGTTCTTCCTATCCTCGGATTCCATTTCCGTCATCAACGTTTTGACATCTCGTTTATAGTAATGCCAATGACTTAGGATATTATTCGCCCCCTCCTGGAGCCCTTCCATAAACTTCGCCAGATCGTACCGGTATTCCTACACATTGGATTAGCCAAGTCGATTATGAGCTGGCATCGTTTCTTAGCACTCACGGTATACTTATTATCCTTAGCCCGGCGTAGCCTATCGGCAGAGGTGAACGAAACTTCGTGGAGAAGCATGAAAACGATCAGGTAAACAAAGTAAAAATGGTGCGGATTCTTGCCCGCCATTACTTTCCATAAGCTCTCGAGCACAAGCTTTCTTAATCGTACAAGTATCCGATTTCCGAGGGAGTCAAACTGCGCCGGGATCATCCGCGGTATTGGTATCGTTCCACAGTACGGACACTCGGCGTTATCTATTGCCTTCATACCCAGCGTTTCTTCTCCCACGATGAATGCTGATCTCAGAGTATTTCCTACTCATCCAAGTCAGCTCTCCTACCAGGCCTAGAGAGACCATCCACGAGCTACTAACTGGTTGCAAACCATAAGTAAAAGTATTGTTCGAGTAGAACCGCATTTATTATGGTCTCTGATCTCGTATCAACCGAGGTATTCTAAGAGCATATCTTTAGTAGACAGTTGTACGACTTGAGTGTATAGCCTCACCTTGCACCTCTGAGCATATTCGATCCTGCGGAGACGCATTGTAAGATTTGTTTCCATTTGATGGAATTCATGACAGTGGAAAGTGAAACTGTTCACACACTGAGGAATTATTTACTTACGCTGCCCGGTAAGTCCTTCGCACCAAGCCATCGACCTGGCCATCTTCAGCGTACTCTCGTACAGCCGGGTGCGCATAATCATATATATATTCCTCGTATCTTTTAGCAGTTTCCCAGATGCTTGCGAGGGCATAAGGTTCGATATCGATTTTTTGTTTGTCCCCCTTCTTATCAACCCAGTATTTACAAGTCACATCCCCTTCGATAGGCGTGAACTTCTTGACCTTCAACACCATCGGGTGGCGGCTTCCCATAACCATATGAATTTCGCGGACATCGTTGCTGGTAACCCAGTCTCGCGGCCCAAGATCTTTCATTTTGGTCCCACTCCATCGTTTCGTTAAATCAAGACCACCTTCGCGGAAAAGGGCGACTTCGGCAAGCTTCCATCGCAGACACGGAAGTCTATGGATCACCTTCTTAGAATCCAATTTGATGTTACGACAGGTTAAGCAATCAACTCCTCGCGGGTCTTTCGGATCTGCTTTACACTGGGATGGGTGTGAGTAGTTAATACTTCGCAGCATCACATACGCTTAATGGTTGGTCCACCTACTCTTATTTTCTGCATACGACATCGAATGCAGGCCCGTAAACACGTCAGCTAATGGCGAGACGCTGGCATAGTACGGCGTGTAAGAAAGGGGGTGGTTTAAGAAAAGAATCTACCTTTAATTTTCGGGTGTTTCCCGTCTCCTTACGGTTTTGATCACTCAGGTGTGACTGAGAACGCCTCTCGGCGTGAGACTCTGGGCTATTTCCATCAATCGTAACGTCGTCTTCAACACTTTCCCACAATTCTTCCTCCTCAAGTATGGGAGTGCTTTTACCTGAGAGGTCAGAATCCTGTGGGGAACCGTCATGATGGCTATCACTGTCCTTCTCTAGCGACGACCCCAAATCTATCCACCCTTCATCTATAGGCTCGCTTGGAGTCTTTTCATCACGCCCCTCCGAGAGTAAGGGGCTGGGCTCGGGTGGCCGTCGCTCCGGGATAGAGGAGCCAGTGGCAATACGGAGTCGATATGCGAGGAGCATGTCTGACTCCTTCACCGGGTTCCAAGAGGGGTGGAAAGAATAGACAGGAGAGCTAGGCGTCGGTAAACCTGAGCAATCTACTAAATAACTGCCCGGAATATTCCAGTACGATGTAGGTTCTTCCGTAGTTAGATAATGAAGTGATGGGGAGGATACTGAGGGCAGGCCGCTGCAACTTGAGGTCAACTGGGCTAAATTGTTGTCAGGCCAGTCATACCTTTCCGGACCTTGCTCCTGTTTGAGGGTAGTAGGGGACAGGCTGAGGTGATCCCCCGTTGCATCTGACACGACGGGTTCTACACCGTACTTAAAATGCCCCGACGGAATTGGATAGCCCCAGTTAGTCTTTGAAGGATGGTGCCTAGGATCATCCGATGTTGCGGTGATGGCGGCGGCAACTGAAGTCACAACACCGGCAGCTGTTCTTCGTCTCTTGGATGACTGGTTAGTCAGCGATGATGGCGACGGCTTGGACCCATATTCCTTAGAGTTATTGATTTTCCTATCCCGTGAAGAAGGGGGAGGAGGACTGGGGTTATAGTTGGCTGGAGAAGGGGAGGATGTGATCCGAGACCGTTTCCTAGGTTTCCCAGGTTTCCATGACGTCTGGTCAATTGGCGTAAATCCGGTAGAGGTCGAACGGTGGACTGAAGAGGAGTTTACATGTGTGGGAACGGGCTGGACCACGGAAACAGCAGTTCTATCCATCATGGGCTCTCTATCTAGTGACCCGGTCTCATTTCTTAGCTAACGACAATGATGCTGACACCAGGGTGTGTGCATGTGTGCGCGTGTGCGCGTATCAAAACTGCCGGTTACCTAAAGATTCGCTGTACGCCGCTGTACGTCACATTCACCGTCGTCGGCCGGTGAAGAATAACAAAGTGGCGCAGGGGGGGTGGGTGCTAATCGTGATTCTCAATTCTTCTAAATTCGAAACCGGCGAAAAATACTGTGTAGCAAAGAACCATGAATGGGTAAGTGCTGGTCTCGTAATACGCAATATAGGTACGAGTTTCTCCCCGGTCAGCTTGTTCTCGTGGCAGGACAGGATGGATGCAGGACGCAGCACGACGGGGTATCTCAAACCCAGGAGTTTCTCGCCGGATGAAAAGAAAAAAAAAGAAAAAAACCAAAAAACCACAGTACTTTTAGACGATCACCAAACCGGAAAGTTATGCAAAGTTCTCCCCGGCGATGGACTCTAAAAGCTGTGTGATGGTTGATCTGTGGCAAGACGTTGTAGAGAAGTAAGCTTACGCATTTACCTGTACGTTTATGGTATACACACGACGCCCGACCAGAGAGTCGACCCCTCAATGGCCGCCGGGGCGGTCTGATTGTAGAGACTAACAAATTATTCGCACCACACCGAGACCAACAAGATACATAAAAGCAAAAATGTCAAGCCACTATTTAATGCCACTTACTACTACATATATGCAGTCGAATCGACCGAAGAAAATTAAAATTAAAATAATGAAGAAAAATAGGACCCTCGTCCTCTCACTTCTAGACTGTCTAGTATTATTTATTATTTTAATATTATTATTATCATCATCATTATACCTCAATCATCATGTAAGTTCATAGTAGCCTCTACATAAAATATAATACCTACACTTAAACAATAATATAAATAGCTAGCACCCTATATTCGTATGCTTACCTAGGCTGGGTCAGGTACCTAACACATGACAGAAGAAGACGGAGAGGTAATAATGCAAGGCCAGCCCGTGTCCTCTCGTACGGCATATGGCATGCTGCAATGTTGTCTTTGATTGCATGTTACCTACATAAGGAGTAATGACAAGGATGAATGAAGATTGAAACCTGCATAAGGGCCTCTGGCCTGACTTCTCGACAGCCGCCGGTCGAGTTTTGCGAGCCATCGTCACAGAACTACATGCGTAACTTATACATATTCCACTTACAGCATGGGTATTTACCTACCCAGGTACCTAAGGTAGGTGGATATAAAAATCTACACCAGTCATATAGTTTAAACTATCTTCATCTTCATCCTCTTGTTTTGTAATGATTCGTGCGGACCTGTCGCCGTCTTATGCCGCAGTTACGCGCTCCTAGAGATCCAGGCTTAGGTGCCCATATGTATTCCCTCGCCGGTCTCAATCCCTGCTCATCAAAATGCTGGACAGCAACTCCCCTTCGACGACAGCCTCATGTGCGATCGACAAATGGGAACAAATAAGGACCAATCGCTATAAGTGGTCCTACTAGACGCCCCCTTTGGAAACTCTTCCGAGAGGTGCGTTGCCAATGAATAGAGCCTTATGAAAAAGCCATTGTGCCATCTCATTCTTGCCTTACACCAAGGGCATCCTTTCCGCCTTTCCCGGTCGCCACGTCAGGTACAATGTCCCCTGAGGTTCGTGGGGGAAAACGCGGGAGTGTGCCTCCGGGGAAGCGGTTGCTCACATCATCAAGTGGGAATTTCGTACTACACGAACTCGATGCTGTCCCTTAATAACTTTAAAGAGGCCAATGTTCCGTAGCCTTGACCCATGCCCGTTGTAGCCCATACACCATTAGAAGCTTCGTCTTTCCTAGCATGGGGGAACGGGCAAAGTGTAAATTTGGGCGGCTCCGGCGCACATGAGACCAAGACGTTACCTAACCTACTCGATAACTGGTTTAGAGCTTAGTAACGAAGCTTCTGGCGGCTTTCTCTCTCCTTCTTTAAATTTTTAATGTTTCCTTTTTCCTTGTGAAGATGCCAAACCGCTCTTCAACTTTGGTATCAGGCTTCACTATACCCACCATCCCGCTTAGGGCGGCGAAGACCCTCCTTTCTCGAAGGAATGGCAGTCAACCTTTACAGCGATGCGGTTTCTTTCCGGGAATCCGGCCGGATGAGACCAAAGAATTTCCTGTGTCTCTTATAGTGTTACCACATCTATTGGCGTCTCGTTGATATGGCCGTTACGGGGTCTCATGTAAGGTCGATGCGATTAGTTTTTCGGTCTGTAGCTCAAGTCTAAATTCCCTATTTTTATTCCAGGAAAAGATGAGTTGGCCCGAGCCAATGATAGGTAGCAAGGAAACAGATTTGTGTCATAGTTGAGTCAGTCGGTATGGGCTGGTATTTCAAGGAAAACGCCTTAAGTAGATGCCACTATAAGTCGCCAAAGTGATGACGGATTCTCATCCTCAAAAACAACACTCAAAGCTCCTTTAAACGCACAATTATACGAGCCAAAATGACAACTGACACAGTCCCCCACGCCTCTGGAAATCCCGTCAGCCCGCAGCCTTGGATGCATCGCGAGGACCGTGGTCTGGCCGCGGATGCTCTGTCCCGGCAGCAAAACGGCGTCTCCCAGCCACCCAAGGGGTTTCCGCCCCTTATCCATGGACCAACGAAGTGGTCCGGATTAGATCCTGACAAAATGCAGCCACATAGACTTGACCTGGACGGCCCCGATGTAGCGGCAATAGGGGAGACTTTGCAGTCGTTCCATGGTAAGCCCCTACCAAACTTCGTGTCCATGCTCTACGTGATTTAACTAGCATCTGCACAGAACTCGAGCTGGATGGCGACGAGGTAACACGAGGGTATTTCCCTCTTCCGAGTCTCCAAGATAGGCTTGAAAAATGTGCTTTCGAAGTTCATCATGGCTGCGGGATATGTATTATTCGTGGACTAACCCCCGATAATTATACTATTGAGGATAATATTGTCCTCTTTCTCGCGATTGCAAGCCATATCGGAGACGAAAGGGGTCTTCAAAATGCTAAAGGTGACATGTTATGTGAGTTTATATGCATCTTGCTTGCTTCTATCGCTTGCTGATCCATAGGGAAAGCCCATGTTACCGAGTCCAAGTCATGGACGGTGCCCAAGGAGAAACGACACGGGATACATACTAACTATAGTTTGGTAAGTAACTAACTCGCCTTACTAGGAGATACGAAGACACTTTGCGATCCGAGCTAACAGTTTTAGCCATTCCACAACGATATGGGATGCGAGATCCTGTCTATCCAAGTCCGAGACCAAGCCAATGAGGGTGGACGTACCTGCATAGCGTCCATGGCCGCTATCTATAATGACCTGGTACAGACAAAGCCTTGGGTCCTCCATGCCCTGGCGAAGCACGACTGGCCAATTCAAGCGTAAGTAAAACCTATAATCCGTACCCATGAATAGTAAGACAAGTAGGGCTGACATCACTTAAGAAGCTCCAGAAGAGAACCCCCTTTTGTTCTATCCCCGTTAATAGAGTACCATGCCGGCAACCTATTAGTTTCGATAGACCCTTCTCGTATAGGACCGCACCCCTTAATTCGTAACGGCTCGATCCCGACCCTTACACCAGAGCAACAGGAGGCACTCGTTGTGCTCGAAGAGACGGCGCGAAAACATCAGATACAACTTGATACCCAGCCTGGCGATCTGATATTTATCAACAACCTTGCCCTTCTGCACGGTAGAGAGTCGTACCTAGATAGTAATACCTCATCAAGACATCTAGTGCGACTTTGGCTACGCAATACGCAACTGGGTTGGCCGATCCCTTCTTCGATGAACATGCCGTGGGACGCTGCCTTTGGGGAAAGAGCTAGGAAAGTGATGGACAGATATTATCCGATAATGCCGATGCCCGAGTATATAGAGTGCAAGTACTCTAACGGGACGGCAGCGTTCGTCGCCGATGATGATGATTATGACGAGGGGAGTGACTCTGGATGTCACCAGGTGGAACCAAACAGTATGGAAACAAGTTCGTTGTTTCGCGAGGAACTCTAACCTATCTAACGTACGGCTCGTATATACAACCATGCTCTTTGTCCTAGATGCCTCATCTAGAATCCTGACACTGGGTCGAAATACACAGAGGAAGATGTTTTTGTTCGCTGGAATCTCGGCTGATTCAAAATCATAGACGGTGTTCTGAGATTTACGTTGGGTCATATTGCTATTACACAAGTTGACCACGGGAAGAGGACGTTTTGGAACTGGTTTAGCGACCGAGTTGTCGGTCTGTTGTAAATACAAATATGCCTTCTAGTCAAACTACTGCTGTTGATACCAATTTCGTATTGGTGATACACGTTGCAACTTTTACTAGAGTCTTAACTGCTCTTTGTAGAGTTTAGATTTCATCACCTAGTAGTTCGGCCCTGGTTGGATATTGTACATAGTACTTAGGCAAAGCCGTGTAGACCAAAGTGAAGACAGTTGCTATTTATTATCAATCCATCGATTGACTAGATACTTACACATGTTAGGTATGTAGGTAGATAACCATGGAAACCACAGAGCAAACGAATAAGCGTTCAGTGTGATGCTCGGGCGTTGTCGACAAGACAATGATACTAGAATAATACTGGAACATCGAGTCCGATATACGGCTTGTAGAGATTCATTTACGATGGGAATAGTGCGGATACTAATTTATCTATGCTCGCAAAGGTCAGTGGCTGTATAGACCAATCTGACCTTGACACTGAGCTAACACTCGTTCTTACGACGGGTAACCAAAGCGCATTATAACTAAAATCATGAGAGCAACTGATCCAATTTTAAGATGTATGTGGTGACTTGAAGATTGATCACGATATGAAGGGCTAGGAACCAAGGGATAGTAAAACATACTGGGTCATCAACTAAATTGAATGTGGGTTATGAAGTAGACACTAACCGTATCACCGAGATGAAGGCAAGGAGCCATTTTAATGCGACCGGGGGACGGATATCACGGTCTGCCGGCTTCAACTGAAAATTTATGATGATGTGATGATTGCTGTTCGGCTTCGGAGGGCGGCTGTGGTCGAAGATCTTGCCGCGTACGGAAGGAAATCCCGGAAAACAGTTATCGGGGGGGCAGTGCGATGTTAATCTATTGGCGATGAAACTGGATGAACAGCGGTTTCTTATGTCATAGAGTGAGAGGGTAGGGACAGTAAGATTATCTACATTACATACTACCTTATAGGTATATACTAACCAACAGCTATTAATAGTTATGTAGGTTGGTAGGTGTGCCACTTATGGTTCTTACGAGGTCACAGAAATAGACGATTCCAACTGGTAGGTATCGTCTCTTTTATGTAGAAGGGATACACAGCATTTCGTAAAAAGATAGAAAGAAACAAAGGGGAATGGCTTGGACCGATACGCTCTCGAAACAATCCTAGGCTTGGCGTATGCACTGCCTATCGGTTTCCGGTTTCTCCTATGTAGTTTTACGATACATGATATCTGACTATTCGCGCGTCTAGGTAACAGAATAGAAAAAGGTGTGTTGCCAGGTAGCGTGGGAAAGGGAGTTGACGATCATGCGAACTACTATGTAAGAAAAAAGGAGAAATGTAAATCGTGGAAGATCCCTATCATCTCCCGCCGTTCGTTACCTAGAAGAGGTAAAAGCAGCTAATGACTGACGTGACCAATTGTCCTGCAAAGTACACAACCTGGTAGTCTATGTATTCGCTACAAACATTATGTACATATTATAACTGGAGATTTGCAGAATTGGCGCAAGGAACGATAAAGCTTGGCGGTTTGAAGATAGGAGTAAACGAGAACTAATCAACCAATGTAATATTCAGAAAGGCTATTAGTCCCAAGTATTATCCCGGTTGGCTGGTTGATCAATACCTAGGTAGTATAGGTATTTTTACAGTTATTTTATATTTTTATGGCAGATAGCAAAGGATTATATATATTTATATAGGTAGGATTTGACTGAACAAAGGTAAGATAAAAAGACATTCAGAGGGAATAAGTGGCAAAATAGGTAAACATGTGGTGTATGTAGCTAATAACAGAACCCGAGTTGAACAAAATAAGTAGGTGATAATGTCTCACTATTCGCTGCTGCGCCTCGCTTGGAAGTCGCTTGGAGATGGAGCTAGCAAACCATCAGGACCCATTTTAAGTCTCGGCATTCTGCCGACTAGTGTTAGGTACAATGAAGATGGGTCGCGTTTAATTGGTTAAACGGCCCCTGGCAGTTCCGCCAAGATCGACAGGTACATCGCGATAGAGTGCAGATTAGCGCCAATTTAGTAGCCGTATTAAGTAAACATGACATATACCAACAAACCTAATTTATGTAGGTACCTAGATGTAGGGACAAGGTATGTATATCGGTACCTCATGTATATTGGGAATCATGTATCGAATACATAATCGAATAGATACATATTCTAGAGCTTTAAGAGGGATTCTCACGAGAAGCCTCAAAAGTTTGAAAACTCCCAGCTAGCCACCGGGAGGAATATCACATGCCTCGTATAGAGTAGGCTTGGTCAAAAATAGGTAGGTATGTGCAATAGTCTAGGTACTTGGCTTCCTCTGGCAAATCCGGATCTGGATTCAGGAGAGCTGGAAAGTCAGGAGAACCTTCCCTGCATTCCCCTCCTCCCCCCCTAGCTGTGGCCCCCCTGTTCATCTGTCCATCTGCCAGTCTACCCGCAAAAGCCCCAGTATTTCACTAGTGTAAATCTACATCGGTCTTTTTAACTTTGGTCCTAGCCAATAAGAACCAATTAACCAATTAGCCCCATTGGCTAGGACCAGTTTTAATCTCTCTCCTGTCAAACCGGGGTCTATCCTCCTTTACTGATATCTCGTATCTCGTACTATTTTTTTGCTTCTCTTCCCTTTTTATGAGACCAGGCCTCTCATTTTTATGCCACATCTTTTCTCTCTTATTCCCTCTCTCTATCTCTCATTTTTCTAGCCTTTATAATTAATCGGTGGGCGAAGGATAAGAAGTATCCAGTCATTCCAACTACGCACACTCATTGACGCGTTATTCGTACATTCCTTATTAGAAAAAGAGAAGCAAAAGAGCAGAAAGGCTTATACCGAGGTTATCTCTACGTCACTCATTAATCGTCGAAAGATATATCAGCGTAACTCGAGATCCCGGAGATCAAGAAATAATTAGCAGATCAAGATGGGTTTCCTACGATCAGCTTTCACAGCATCTATGCTGCTTGCCAGCAATGCTGCCGCCTTGGACCCTATCATCATGAAGGTATGTAAATGCCATTGGTTCCTCGGAAGCCATTAGCAGTTGAGCGTAAGAGCAAGACGACTAATATGCCTGGTTCGGATAGGGAAATAAGTTCTTCACCAGTAAAGGCGAGCAGTTCTTTATCAAGGGTGTTGCCTACCAACAAGAGGCCGGGGGTGGGCCCGGCGGCAGCACGGACTCCAAGACCAAGTATGTGGATCCTCTGGCCGACGAGAAGACTTGCGAACGTGACTTTCCATTACTCGAGAAGTTGGGAGTGAACACTATCCGAACGTACGCCATCGACCCTAAGGCGGACCACAGCGCCTGTATGGCTATGTTAGAGAAGGCCGGTATCTATGTTGTTGCCGACTTGGGTGAACCAGCTCTTTCCATTAACCGTGAATCTCCCGCCTGGAATGTCGACTTGTTCGAACGTTACAAGGGTGTCGTTGACAACCTTGGAAAGTACGACAATGTCATTGGTTTCTTCTCCGGAAATGAGGTTACCAACAACAACACCAACAGTAAGTATATGTGCTATCCGAGTATTTGGATCTATCGGTAGATCTACGTGATGCTAACTATAGTCATTATAGCCGATGCTTCGGCCTACGTCAAGGCCGCTACCCGAGATGTTAAGAAGTACATCGCTGATAAGACAGCTAAGGGTGGACGATGGATGGGTGTTGGTTATGCTGCCAACGACGATGCCGATATTCGTACTAACATGGCTCAATATTTCAACTGTGGTGACCAGGACAGTGCCATTGACTTCTGGGGTTACAACATCTACTCCTGGTGCGGCAAGAGCAGTTTCACCGAGTCTGGTTATGATGTCCAGGTCAAGTTCTTCTCCAACTTCTCCGTTCCCGTCTTCTTCGCCGAGTATGGTTGCAACACTGTCAATGGTGCCGAAGGTCGTCTCTGGGATGATACCACTGCCATTTACTCCGACCAAATGACTGGTGTCTTCAGCGGTGGTATCGTCTACATGTTCCACCAAGAGGAGAATGACTACGGTTTGGTTAAGGTCAAGGGCGACACCGCGACCCCCATGAAGAACTACAAGGTTTTACAGTCGAAGCTTGCCGATGTCAAGCCTTCGTCTACATCCATGGCCTCTTTCGACCCTACCAACTCCCCTGCCGCTTGCCCTGGCATCTCCAAGAACTGGAAGGCCGCTGAGGCTCTCCCTCCTACTCCTGACAGCTCTCTTTGCGACTGCATGTACAAGTCTCTCTCTTGTGTTCCTTCCGATGATCTCGCTGAGAAGGACTTCGGCGACATCTTCGGTTACATCTGCGCGAACGACGAGGCTGCTTGTGCCGGTATCAAGCACGACACTGAGGCCGGTGTCTACGGTCCTTACAGCATGTGCAATGCTAAGGAGCAGCTCGGACACGTCCTCAACGCCTACTACACCAACCAGAACAGCGCGTCCACTGCTTGCAGCTTCAAGGGTGCCGCACAAATCGTTGATGGTTCTACAGAATCTACGTAAGTAAATATCCCATGATGTCGTCGTACCGATGGGCTAACATAGACTAGTTGTGAGGCATCTTTGGCCAAGGCCAGCTCTGCTATCGCCGTCGCTGCTACTGCTACCGCGGGTTCCACTAGCACCTCTACCGGTGAGAGTAGCAACAGCAGTGAGAACGCTGCTGCCCCTGGATCCGTCCGCATGACTCCTTTTATGACTATGGGCGATATGGCTATCAGCCTGTACGTGTTGGTGGCCATGGGAGTTGGTGCCGGTATGGTTATGCTATAGAGGAGTTAATATCACATGGTTGGATGTGGCTTTTTATATAGTATTATCTGTCCCTGTGTTCTGGCGTAATTCGGCACAGCTGTTGTTTTCATCCAAGAGATTTATACGTAGTGGCTACGTCGTATGGCATTGAGGATGCTATGCTTTTTTTCCGTATTAGACTCAGAATAGCTAATTGCAACCATCAGTATTCATGAGAGAGTATATCGTAGATATTTCGATAGGCACGTCTGGTGTATAGGTCCTTTTGTGTTATGTTTTGTCTTCTATTCTGTTATTGCGGTCTATGTTTGGGGTAAGTTGATTTTGCTCTTCGGTCTTTCTATTGTCCCTATAGGTGTGAATTATCTAGAACTTTGTTTATATTCTAGAGCTCTCTGCATTTCTATATCAATGTCGTTGTGAAGGCTGGTCTTAGGTGCTTAATAAGAATTCTTTCTGGCAATGGTGTATCGTGGTCAAAGATAACCTAGGTACTCGTATATTTCGTTGATCTTCTTCCCGCTAAATCACGGATGCTTTCCCCATCAAGATGGTTGTTGCTTTAAGATGTTCTTGTCGTATTCAGTTCTCTCTCCTAGCTGGGACTGTATATCTGGTTAATCCACAAACTCACTTTTTCAGCGACGACTTCACTATGTCCTGTGTCTTATTTTAGCTCTTTTCCCAGTACCGGGTTGAATTGTATTCGCTTACTTATGCAAAACGCGTGAGGGATGTTTCCTTCATCTACTATGAGTCTCGTGCGTTCGACTTGCTTCTGTCTCTTCTGGATGAAGTCATCCCTGTAGTGATTTGCAACCCAATGGTCGTGTTTGCCAAAGAAGAAAAAGAATTTCGGTATGACCTTGTCATGTGTCTCTGCTTCGTGAGCGATTTCCCATAATTCTTCGTCCCAGCGGTCCTCTCCGATGACTTGCATTTCGTCCATGCCCATATGCAGCGCCTGCCATACCCCGTCCCGGCTCTTGAGCCAACGCGTTGTTACTTCTGCTCCGTGGGCGGGGAATCCCATTACGCTGCGCACGATCCACCGGAGGGCTCCTTGGGGTAACAGGTGCAGGAATGCCTGCGCAATCCGGTAGGCATTGTCGCCCAATATGGGAGTTCGGCGTAGCAAGTCAAGTTTTTTCCCGCTTGGAGAGTTTGATATATGGTGGATAGTCGGGAATAGGAGGATTCCGGAACCGAGATTTAAATGCGGAGCTATATCCGGGTCGCGTAAGAGCTCATGAAAGAGCTCCAGGGCAATATAACTACCTACGGAATGTCCAATGAGTAGAACCTCGTCGTACGGAAGATCTTTGCGCGGTCCTAAGTCGACGCGTAGCCTCTTTAGGGTTGCAAGCGTATGCTGGATTTGGTCCTGGAGGTTATACGGTGTCCTCTGCGAAGTGAAAGGTTCGTGGTCATCGTCAAGGAATCCGGCTAGATTCTGGCCGTAGATGTGAAAGCGTATATGCTCAAGTGATTTCGCCTCATCTAGGAGTTCTCGGAGAGTTGATAGGAAGGGCTCATAGTACTCAATGAGTCCCGGATTCCCGGGGATGAAGAATATGAGGATATCACGGGATCGCGAGTCCTCGGGTCCGGGTCCGTTGTCGAGCGAACTCGGAGGAAAGGTTAGGAAGCGAGTAGTGGTCATTAGAGTCGTGGTATTAGGTGGTGTCATGTCATATACGGACTGCTATACTAACGGGGTTTGAATGGATATTCTATTGGTCCCTATTGATGGTATATGGAACCTTACAGGCTTACCACAAGCTCGTAACAACCAATAGCCACTTGCAATGGATGGATGTAACTTCATAGGTACCTAACCTTAGGTAGGTACCTAATATATGTAGCCACAGGAAGAATCCTAGCCACAATTTCTTGTGGCTCGTTTTCTAGTTGAGTCCGCCTTCTAAGGCAGATCTGTCGTTATTAGAAAGTGCTACGAATACATATTAATAATTGGTAGGTAATTGGTCTGATGTCTCCATCCGAAATGCACTAGACAGCCCTAAAAGAATATTAGGTAGGTTAAGTACATAGTAAGTACCGACATATAGGCGGGCTGTCCTACTTTTATTCACATGCTCACATGTGCGCACTTGCAAGTTGCAGACTTTGGACCTGCCTTAAACGAACCAAGAGGCACGTGTCGTCATTGTCAGCCTAATCGTAGACTTACATCTAGGTAGGTACAGGTAATCCGACGCAACCGCAACTGCAACCGCAACCGCCTACCACTTAAACTACCTGTCCGTTTGCCCTGTCTGCTTACCTATCAGCCTATGTATCTGCCTGCGTGACCTAAATTCAACTAAACTCAGCCAGTCAAATCTTCTTTTCTTCTTAGTGCAAATCCCACCCACCTCTAAAGCCACGATGCTCTTGTTATAAACCCACTTCATGTATTCTTATCGAATGCCCTCTATCTACCTACTCTAATAAAAAAATGGTGGCATAATACCTCTTACGATAATTTCAATCACCATGGATATCGAAATTTGATACCGCATCATTTATTCTTCGGAATTGTCGGTAAGTACCGTACCTTGATATATATATATATGTATATTTAGGTATCTAGGTAGGTATAACTATGCGTATTCCGTCTTATCCCACACTGCACAAGTTTGCCAGTCTCTCGGTTTCAAATGAAACCTAAGAATGTTGACTATTCTAAGCTCCCCGCCTTCCGCCTTGCCACTAGTCATCTTAATCCACTTCAGTTCTCTTATGTCCGTGTACTCATCGCCTCGGCTCTAATCTAACTAGACTTCTACTTTCCTAGGATGCCGATGCGACCCTACAACCGGTTACTCGTGACAGTCGACCGCGGCGTTTGAGGTCCTACCATCTCTTACCCTTCTCAACCCGCTTAAGTCCTACAACTTTCGTTATTCCCCTACGACGACCTCCCCCCTCCACATACTATTGAACTATTCTCTACCATCGTACGCCGTAGCGTTGTCACCATGAACTCCGCAGAGCTCCGGCATCCACTATTACCCGGCGATGCCTCGAAACCGACAACAGCGGCCGGTATTTCCGGACCGATCCTAGATTCGAGCAGCGCTCACCCTGCAGGCAAGGCTAAGTATGGCCGCTTTAGGGCGTTCCTGCGTGCTATCTCCGTCTTCGTCTATTTCGCAAGTGGCTGCTTGACGTATGGCCCCTCCTCGTATAGCCTAGGTAGGAAGAGGGATCTTTCTGACATGTGTACAGCATACACCTTACTCAGATCATCGGTTCCCCATTATACTACGCCAACCGCGACCTCTACTATGCGTATATGTCCCTGACCAAGGCATCTTTTGGCCTATTGATAACCACCATGACCCAGTGGTGGGCGCCTACGTTGATAAGAATGAGCGGCGATTCTTCTGTTGCCGGGCAGCTCAGCTTGGCGCCTGATGGCAGGGTCCAGTGCGCTTTTCCGGAGCGCATGGTTATGATCGCGAACCACCAGGTCTGGGACCAGATTGATGGCCTGCGCCAAAGAACGTGAATGGCTGACAAGTACGTTTTGTCGCAGATTTATACCGACTGGCTATATCTGTGGTGGGTTGGATATACGAACAACCCTCACATGCACGGACATATCTACATCATCCTAAAAGAGTCTTTGAAGCGAATTCCCATCCTTGGACCGGGCTGCATGTTTCTCGGCTTCATCTTTATGTCTCGCAAGATGGCCGTCGATCAACCTCGTCTAGCCCACAGACTTGGGAAGTTAAAAACTAAGCATACGGACCCTGACGGCAATAGCTATTTGAACCCAATGTGGCTACTCCTTTTCCCTGAAGGGACTAATTTATCTGGGAACGGCCGAATCAAGTCAGCCCGCTGGGCCGCCAAGGCTGGGCTGAAAGATACGGAGCATTTGATGCTGCCTCGAAGTACCGGCATGTTCTTCTGCCTTAACGAACTTAAGGGGACCGTGGATTATGTGTACGACTGCACCGTAGCCTACGAAGGCGTTCCGTATGTTCTGCTCTTTGCTATTCTTGGTGCTTCTCTGTCATCTTAAGTAACTAACATGCCACCTAGTCGCGGGAAATACGGAGAAAACTATTTCACCCTATCGAGTACTTACTTTCAGGGGCGGCCTCCTAAATCGGTAAATTTCTACTGGAGGCGGTTTGCCCTAGCGGATATGCCATTGGATAACCAAGAGGATTTCGATAAGTGGCTTCGTGAGCGATGGTATGAGAAGGATGCTCTGCTCGAGCAGTACGTTTCTACGGGCCGATTTCCAGCAAATCCGACCGGCGTTAAGGGTCATATCGAGACGGAGGTTCGAACTCAGTATTGGTGGGAATTCGGCAAAATCTTCGTCATGCTCGGTTCGTTTGGGTTGATATTTAGTTTCTTTTTAAGAACTCTGCGTACCCTCGCACGTGGTTAGTCTACCGATATCGAGCCCTTGCTTGCTAATAGATAATCTGTGCGGGTATTGCGTAAGGAATGGTAAGAGAGACGAAGAGAGAGTTATCCTTAAATACCAGTGACGACATGAATCAATGATACCATGAAGAATATGTAACATAGGGGATGGGAATTTCGGATTGGGTTGGCGAATGCATAACTAAACTTTTGATAGCCTGATATTGTAAACCATGTCGATTAATGGTTTAAGGCATGATGTCTTGTAGGAAATAGGTAGTGAATATTATTATATCCTCTTCATTAGTGTAAGTACCTACGAAGTATGAAGATTTTGGTACGATGTCGACGATCACGTAAGACGCACTGTGACATGAGCAATCTACGGGAAGGCTGGGGTAAACAGGGGCGCTTTTACGCAAATTACAGGTAAGTTGATAGAGCGGCTATTAGAAACGATGATTATTGATCGTGAGAATTGATGATATGTTTCACTAAGAAAGTTGAATCTGGCGCTGGCTTCTCGCACTCTCCTTAGTAGCCTCAATGATTTGTAGGACATCTCTCGCTTGCGATGCCGGAACCGGCAAATCCTCTTCGCGATTTCGAACAAGAGCCTCTCCAAAGAGCTCAAAGAGCTTGCTGTAGGTTTCAGGCTCCACATTCGGACAGTCCTGTACGCGAAAACTGCCGTCATCGCCGACAAGAGTAAGTTTCCCATTCCACTCCGGGCTCTCTCGTCCAAAATTAGCGTCGTCCGTCTTCATGCCGGAACGGAGCTGTGGCTCTTGCGTGTCGAGACCCTCCTTGCGGTAGCTACCTTTGGTACCCCTGATCCAGAATCTCGGCTGCCGCGCCTCGACGCTCGCGCTGGCGATACGCACGAAAACGACTAGGCCGTTATCGTAGAATAGCTGCGCGGTGACGCTGTCGGGATCTATATCCGGGTTCTGCGGGCTGAGCAGGAGGCCGTCCCGCTGGCTGGCTAGGATGCCGAAGACGCTTCGTGGCTTGCCGAATAGCACGTATGCTTGGTCGATCAGGTGAGTGCCTAGGTCGTAGAGCGCCGAGCCGCCTTGGTCCATCCCGAGCGTGCCCTTCCAGGTAGACGGCTTCTCTAGCCGGAAGCGGTCAAAGTGCGTTTCGAATTCAACGACTCGACCTAGCGTGCCGTCGGCTAGGAGCTTACGCACGGTTAGAAAGTCGCTGTCCCATCTGCGGTTCTGGTACACGCAGATCAGCCGACCCTTTTCTCTGGCGAGCTTGATCAGGGCGTCTGCCTCGGAAACGCTCGGGACGAAGGGCTTCTCTACGAGGACGTGCTTGCCCGCTTGGAGGGCCTGCTGGGCGAACGAGAAGTGCGTCTCGGGGGGAGTGGTGATGACGACCACGTCGAGGTCTGCGTCGGCGAGGAATTGGTCCAGAGAGGTGAAGTGCTTCACGTCGGGATGATCACGCGGGGCTGACTTTCCTGACTGGCTGGGGTTGCGCTGCAGGATGGAATGGAGGTTTAGGGTTGGTGTGATGGTGATGAATGGGATGTGGAAGACGGTGGCGGATAATCTGGGAGGTAGGTAAGTGAGTGAGTGAGTGTGCTAACATATGAAATGAGTAGATTGTCTTACCCGTAACCGATGACGCCGACGTTGAGCGGCTGTTTGGTGGTTGAGCTGGCCATGATGTTCCCTTTTGAAGATTTATATATAATAATATAACTAATATATACCTAATATATGTGTAGACACGTGTGGTTGATATGTATTTGCTTGTGTATTGGTTTCAAGAAGATGAACGAATACCTCCTGAGGACATGACAAATGACATGCAACTTTGGGGAGAGTCGAGTCATTTAAATATTTAGAGATAGATTCTACCTACGATCTATTACGTACCTTGAGACGATCTAACCTAGTGATCTTTCGTCATCTAAAAAACTGTTCACTAGGTTAGAGACGTTATAAAAAACTTACATGCTGCGTGATGCTTTCACGATTCACGATGCTCTGCTCCGAATGGTCAACTGTTAAAGTTTCCTATTTCGATCATTAGCGGGCCGAATGGTTCCCATTTTACGTATTCCGTACCTGTTTCGGTGTTAATTCATACTGTATATAGAAATATATCTATAGTGTACCTAAATCTGTGGCTTTATGTAATATTGAATATTTGAGATACTGTGCGAAGTTGGACGGAAGAAACTGTTCGGTACTCGGACTTCCCCATTATTTTATTTTCTATTCTTTTTTTTTTCTGTACCGAACTACGGAATAACTACATACATACATCATCGGATCAAAACCTCATACATCCCTGCCTTTTTCTTCTAATGACGACAATCATAACGATGCTAATAGAAGTTACAACGATAGAAATTTGAGATGGTATAATCGCACGTCTGTTGTTTGCATTGCCACTGCGAACTATATCGTGAAAAAGGGGAGGGGTCTCGACTGCTTGATCATGGGGTGAATTGGTAGACGAGTATTATTCATAATATTTTTGAGTCTATCTACAAAATCTTTATTCTAGTCTTTTGATCTAGACTACCAGAAGACTAATACCTATTGGCTATCATCCACTTTGTATAACCGTTGGCGCAAACCATGCCACTCTTGCGACTTCGTTGCATTTACTTTGGTAACGTGAATCGCGACGAACGAGAGTTGTAGCGGCTGAGAAATTCCAAGTTGGAAAAGGAGAAGATTAAACTTGAAGATGATGTTCAGACGGAGCTTTCCTCATATCCGCCAAGGTCTGCTCGTACAACGCTGTCAGAGTGTGAGATCTTTTTCTCTCACTTCCTGCCGTCGCGAGATCCTCGACGCCTCTGTACTTCCCGAGCGCATTCTACCCGAGTACAAGGAGAGTCCAACCTCTTCTCTGCTGTCTTTACAATGGCCAGAACCGCCGCGGAATATCCTCATCATTCCAAAGCTACATGATCCTAAGGTGACTGCTTCTGCCATCTCATTTGCGAACCATATTCACAGCGAATACCCCGATCTGAATCTCGTGTTTGAGCGCCGAATCGCCTCTACTATGCACGAGTCCCTGTCTTTTCCCATCTACACATCTGATCCAAGCCTGTTTCCTCGCAAGATTGATCTCATGACCACCCTGGGTGGCGATGGAACCATTCTACGCGCAGCTAGCCTTTTCAGTCTACATGCGTCCGTGCCTCCCATCTTGTCATTCAGTATGGGGTCGCTAGGCTTTCTAGGCGAGTGGAAGTTTGAGGAATTCAAACGCGCTTGGCGTGAAGTATACATGAGCGGAAGCCGTGTTGCCGTATCCGACTTGCAGGGCCCCCATACGCAGTTTGCTACCAACGGCCGGCCTGATAAGGACGAAGGCCGTCTTCATAGCAACTGGGAAGGCCTCCGCGGAAAGAGCATGGGTCTTACTCGGTCTAGCAAGATCCTTCTGCGTCATCGGTTAAAGGTTGGAGTTTATGACGCCGCGGGTGTCAATATAAACGAGCAACTCATACCCAACCCGATCGTCGAGCCGTCGCAGTCCACCTCGACGACACCTATCGATCCAGAGCTCGTAGGGAAGAATGAAGGACAAGACGGGTCCCGACCATTCCACGCCGTGAACGAACTTGTTATCCACCGTGGTCCAAATACGCACCTTGCCATTATCGATGTCTATGTGAATAATCACTTCTTAACGGAGGCGGTGGCCGATGGGATCTTAATCAGCACGCCGACGGGGTCCACGGCATACTCACTCTCCGCTGGTGGTAGCATTATGCACCCCTTGGTCAAGACGCTGCTGATCACTCCAATATGCGCTCGCAGTCTCAGCTTTCGGCCGCTTGGCCTCCCCTTGAACACCAAGGTAGTCCTCAAGCTGAGCGAGAAAAACCGTGGACGCGAACTTGAAGTCAGCATCGACGGCAGGCGAAGGGCTGCTGTAACCGTCGGTATGGAGATCCGCGTTGAAGGTGAGACCGTTGGCCGTACCGCTGGCGGCAGCTGGGCTGGGGGGGTGCCTAGCGTTATTAGGTCCCCTGTCAAGGGCGACGGCGGGAGAGATGGAATTGCGGAGGATGACGACGGGTGGGTTGGTGGATTAATCGGCCTGCTTAAGTTCAACTATCCATTCGGTGACGGTCAATGAAAATCATGTCTGTATTGGGGATCGGAATCTGAGTTTCATAGCATGAGTACGTACATATTGGCTAATAATGGGTTCGTTGGGAGACTCGAGGTAAGGTTATCTTGAGTATGTTAGGTCTTGTCTAACCCTTTTCCCACCCTCTTTGCCAAGAATTCGGTGGCTACCTCCTGGATGCCTCAGATATCTTTCATCGCATTTACAGATACCCGAAAAGAAATAACGTCTTCTGTCTCAAAATCTCACTGTCGCATTGATATTGTCTGATTTGTCTATGCTTCCTTGGATACCGTGAGCTGAGTGCAATTTAGCAGCTACCTACATAATCTACAAAGTTACAGAGCTAGGAGGTATAATTATCGCATGTACTTGATCGATCTATGTTGATGCGTGTCCGAATAGAAGGCGGGTAAGCAAAGCTTACTTTAACCGTCCGCCGATGGTTATATCCTCGTCGCGTTGACCTAGTCTCCAGCGGCGCTCGACTGGTTGATTCCCAGGGGAGCTTGAAATCTCTGTGCTCTAGGTACTTTCTGGCAGAGCTAGGCCTTCGCGCCTGTGTTTGTGTCTGTCTGTTGGATCAACACCCAAAACAGTCTTGTCTCCTCTCCCTCCCTCCATGTTGCTATATACGAGCGGGATGAAAAGTCCCACCTTGTTACGTATTTCCCGAAACCCTCCACCTTGAAATCTCTCGCCTCCTCCCACAGTGATATCCTCGAATCTTTTAATCCAGATAACCGCTAGCCTTGAGTGCGGTTTTGAGGTTTCTCGCTATATCTTGTTGAGTAGACGAACTCGACTTCGATGCAACCTTAATCGTATCCAAGATGTCCTTGGTGTTCGCGCGCAGGTATAGCCGGGCTGTTTCCTTCCACAGCGACATCGCACTGGTTCCGGAGGCTAGGTCTTGGGTTGTATCATCCGCCTTGATTGTCTTGACCCAGGGTAGCTGGGCAAACTGCATCGTAATGCTTCGAACGAAGATATTGTAGGTGTCCGACTGTCTCTTTTCTTTGACGCGCTCCCGACCGGGCTCGTTGTACCACGGCTCCTCGCAGAAAATCATGGCCTGTATGCTGACAAGCACCTGGAGCAGAGTAGACTGGTCTCCTCTCCACGGCTCCCCATGCCACGTATTGAGTAAGGAAAGGCAAACTATAAAACTCTAGCGTTAGCAAATATCTCGTCGCGAATTCTTTTCGTAAGAACTTTATATAAATCCCAATTTCGAGTGCAAGTCTGAAATGTTTGGTAGTACCACTTACTTTTGCCATCATGGTATAAATTTGGGTTGAAGCGCCCTTTGCTGGTATTGGGCGTCTTGAAAAGCACCTTTGGCGGGGAATTAGGGTAGTCGAATGGGCAGAACAGGTCGAACTCGAATAAGCCGTGCTCGTAAGGTGTTTGCCGAGGACCGATGATCAAGACTTTCATGATATCGAGCCGGGAAGATCCGTGGCATACGAAGATGCCTTCTGGTAGCGAGCTCATTAGTGTGGTTATCTCCGTGACCAATCTCTTCATACGCCCACGTTCCGGAAATAGAGGACCGTCTCTACGTGCCTCCTGCGCGTAGGCGAAGTTGCGTAGGACCGCGTCGTCGGGGACGTCTCTGACGCAGTTTTCGCGGTGCCACTCAGAAAAGTTGATATCCGGTTTGTCTTCAATAACATCCATGGCTGTTTGAAGTTGTTGCATGTTTGCGACGTGCCGAGTAGATATCTCGCTTACACGTTGGCTAAGCTTTAGTAACTTCTGTCCTTCGGATCCCTGGAATCCGATAGGAGTGCCCTTAGCATACCGGAGGAGAGTCTGTAATTGGGTCGCCATACTGCCTAGCAATTCGATCAGAGGCTTTCCCGTGTCCCTCGGAACGATTCTACCTTTGCTCTTCTCAGGGCTGAGCGAGGCTTCTAGAAGATTACCCCCATCTTCGTAATAAAGGGTACGGTCAGTGTATACTAAGTTTGCTGTTGCTGGATGGCTTCCTAGAGCGTCGAAGAAGTCCAATACTGAATCGTGAAGTTGACTTCTGGATGATATTTCGTCAATAGAGCCGTTGCTGAGCATCATTGCAGAGTGTTCTAGTAAAGGGCTGCGCGAGATTATGTGTGATAAAAGGCTAGGCGGGGAGGCGTCGAACGGTGCTACCCTCTTGCAAGATGGTAGCAAGAGAGCTAAGAGCCTGAAATGAATTTCGTGGGTAGGGTTCTCTTTAATGTCTATGGTCCGTTTTTGAATCGATTGCTTAGGGTGATTTCTATACTGACCAAACTGACCAAAGAAGGAAGAATGAGGAACACTCCCTTCACCGTAACCGACTCCATTCCCAGGGGCTGGCGAGCGAGGTCCCCGTATCTTGTCGAGTACCGTAGCTTCCTTGATCTTTACCTTTCCTCGAACCCTTTTGAGCACATAATTAGCTCGAGACTTCGACTCTGACTTCGACTTTGGGGCTTTCCAGCCGCAAGCGAGAGCCCAGATTGCGGCTAGTCTGCCATCATCACAGCACCACTGCACAGTGGTATTCATTTCGGCGACCTTGAGGGTAACCCCTGACCCGTTCGTCATAGTGGAATGAATTGCTTTCCCACAACCGAGACATGTGACTACTGGGCAGGACTTTTCTTGACATTTCAGACCAAGGCTGACTTTCCCACCATTATCACCAGTCCATGTTGCCGTCATATTTATGACATCTTCGGGCCCCATAGTCTTCTTTTTATGGCATTCGGCACAGGCATGATTAACGAGCCCTTGGACGAATAATCCTAGGGGCTTCAAGTCGGCGAGAGTCTCCTCGATCATGGCTATATTTTCGGGAGGTTGCTCTATGTCCGGTGACTCGGCGCTGTCTTCGTCGCTGTCCTCGCTGTTATCTTCGAGGCTTAGGCCGTCTATTTCCATCTTTTCGCTTTGAGACCCCTGACCTGGTGGCTGATAGGGAGAGAACATCTCCCCAAACTGATTCAATGGAATGAACTCCGGCATAGCGTGAAATGGAATGGGAATGGGATAGTAATCTTCCGGTATTTGCTGGTTATACATCAGTCCAGGTTGGTTATTCAACATTGGAGTTTGTTCAGACCCGGCTCCTAAATGGAGATGCTGTGGGTGCTCAGCTAGGGGCACGAGTGGATGGTTGCCTAATAGAGGATGAGGCTGGTGCATATGGTGCATAGGTGAAGCACCTGCAAAATGTGATGGTACTGGAACCCATGACGAACCCGAGGCATCACTTGAGGCTAAAGGGGGAGCAGGCTGTGTGTGGAGATGAGAAGGGCCCTCTGGGTATGGTGGAAACCATGAGAAAGACGCCGGATGTTTATTGGTCGACGTGCCCTGTCCTTGAGATGATCCGGAATGGCTGTGCGATGCCATAGAGCTATAGCTCTTGTGAGGATGTATGCTACCGGATGAGTCGATCTGGGTGAAAAAGCTTCCAATGGGATGTTTATTTGTTGACTTCTTTCCCGCCGGGGGATTGCCTAGCGCCATTGCCTTTAATGAGACCACTGAACCCGGTTGTGCAAGAAGAAATGGATTCAGCAACTGTGCGGATGGCTTGCTCGAGGATGCTGGTGCGTATCCAGGTGCGTATCCAGGGACAAATGGATTCTGAGACGGTATCTGCAAGTTGCTGTTATCTTTTTTGGGAAGGGTTGCAAACTGTTGGTTGCGTGGCCCATGCGATTTGGACTGAATTGGATTCGACGATTGTTTCGCCATAGTTGAGTTGGGGGCCTGAGACGGCTTGCCGTTATCAACTGACTCTTGGCCTTTGTTATTTAGCCCGAAACAGCTGATCCGGGAAGAGATATCCTTGATATCTTTTAAGTTGGGAGCCATTACGAATGTGCCCCGTATGGCTATCAGGCTGTAGCGGGATTCATTCAGTTAGGGAATGCAAGTATCCGTGTCTGTGTTACCGGCTGGTTATATACGTAGGTAGGCAGGTAATATCAATACCTAAGGAATGATATGGGTTGGGCGCTTATAAACGGAAAGGTATTGTTGGTTTTGACGTGACGGCCTTTTTGCGGTATCTTAAGGCACAAGGCGGAGACACCGTGTAAAATGATGTGTAAAATGATGTGTAAAATGATATGGTCGGGAAGAGGGTAAACACAAATAAGCTACCGGTTGTCCGAGTAGTTATCCGAGTAGTTATCCCAGTAGGATAACTCGCGTTAGTACGAACAAGAAGATGCTTGCTGGTACGTGAATACGCGTGAGTCAATATTAACGGTACGCGTCTTCTTCTTCTTTCTGTCCTCGTGTTTAAGACTATTTGATACTTTATGGTTCTCGCACTGAACTTGGCCTTTCTAGGCGGGGTACAGTAAGGTATCCTGTGAGCAGGTAAATTAACATATTCCGTCTATTGGACCCAGAGTTAAATAAAAAGTCAGCTTTGCCATGTGTACATACCTTTAGCACCCTCCTACGTTTCCACTAGAAACGGAGGGGAGAGGAGTCAAACCGTAATGTTCTCGAAATGTAAAAACATAAGGGGAAGGGTAGGTAAGTAAAAAAAAAAAAAGAGTAAGGCTTGGGTTGTGAGAAAAGACCTACGTGCGGGCTTAATGCAAGTATGGCCTGTAAATTTTACTTTTTGCAATGTTTGGTAAAGGATGTGAAAACGTGAAGATACAGTCTTCACCAAGGTATTTGTGTGGATTTATCAAACGAAAAATAAAACAAAATAAAATGGGATAAGAGCTCGAGTCAACCACCCACATGCCGTGTTGTTGCTATGGACTTGGGATCTTGGGATGCCTTCCATGACGGTAGGTACTAGAACGATAAGGCTGAGCTTTAGCACACATGTGAGTCCTATCTATGTGACGCACGTATTTGTTTTGTTCCGCGTGAGGTAAGTACCGGTATGGTGTTTGTCTACCTACCTACCTACCTAATGTGATGGTATCTGCGTCCTTGACACTTGTTTGCACTTAGGTTGTTTTTTTTAATTGTACTGTGTTAGAAGGGGGATATATGTACTTAGGTACGACGTAGGTATCTTGGATAAGTTTATATCCATTTCCCATGCAGTGCAGGTTGTAAAATAGCATTTGAATTTTTTAAGATATATTTCAGGTTATTATTGCAGATGTAAAGACGTGAATAGGTACCTTATATGTAAGGTATGATATGTCGATGTGTCGATGTGTCGATGTGTCGATGTGTTGGTGTATGTACGGAATACCTAACTTAGATAGGTACGTACTTTACGTTACGTAGTAGTACCCACCTCAGCCGCAGCGGGGTAGATGATTTACCCCAAAACACTTCCAAGTCTGCTTGTGAGGGTTGGAGGGGTATGTACCTAAGTACCTTATCTGCCGGACTTAGGTCATCGAATTAGGTACAATACGTATTGTATTGTACTTAGGTACCTAAAGCATGGTCCTGTTAGGTACGTAAATAAACTGTTGCTATGGAAGTATCTCCATCAACTTTACTTCGTCAAATTACATAATTAATAAATCGACCTTGAAGAATCATCTATCATTCGTAGACCACATTCTTAGACCGCATTCCTAGTGCGATCAAATAAAGCTGCCAAGAATTTGATTCCCTTGTTTTTTGGACGTGACATCGCTCTATTCCTAGCGCCACTTACGTTCACCATACCCAATCTGATATATATATTTCTTGGTTTACCCTTCACAACCTGTCAATTGCTCTTCTTCTAATCTTCAATCAACAAAGACCTTTGGTATATTTTACTAAGCACCGTGACTTTCCTCTCCAAACACCTCTACTTTTGAGCCTACCTACCTTTCATTGCTTTCATTATGGATTTCATTAATAAGATCGCGGGTAACAAGGACGAGAAGGACGAGAAAACCCAAGAGAACGAGCAGCAGAAGTCCAACACCGGGTTCATGGATAAACTCAACTCCATGGCTGGTGGTGGTAAAGACAGCGAAAAGAGTGAAGACGCCCTCGATAAAGGTACGTGGGTTCATCATTATCTGGGCTGTCATTCTATCTAATTTAACTATTTACGTAATACTTGAATTATACCTGACATGTCGCATATAGGGATTGATTGGGTACAAGAGAACATACTAGGTCAAGGAGACCAGAGTAACGAGAGTGCTGTTGAGCAAGCCAAGGATGAGCAGATCTCCGACTATATTCGCGCCCAGTACAAGAACACAACAGGTTCGGACCTCCCAGTCAAGGACAAGGAACGCTTTTGAACGCCTAGTGCATTGGGAGCTACAGGTACAGAGCTATATATAGCACCAGCATGTATTCGAGATCTATGCGAGGGTATGAGGAATGTTAAGTGTGCGTGATGAATTTATTACGAACTTAGGTTCTCCTACTGTGCTGATCCCACACAATGGATCAGGACATAGTGATATAGAATAGAACTATTAGAACAAGTCAAGACTGCAACTTATTTCGGGCTGCTTTGAAACTCTAGGTGCTTAATCTAGGTAGTTAAATGACCTAAGCTAACTCATTGTAAATAGATTAACAAGGCCTCGCTAGCTTGTAACGTGATAGTTGCTTGCCCATTGGAAATAGATAGAGACTCAGTGCTCTCAGTCCCGGCAACTTTGCAGCTACCGTCAGTAAATGTCTGTCCTCCATAAGTGACCTTACCACCTTGGTCTACTCTGGACATGGCACTCTCTGCCGTTAGTCTTTTGGCCTTTAAAGAGCTTCCCGATAAACCGCCAATGCTAAATGATTGGCTGGAACGGCTACCGCTCCCACTAAAGTAATCAGAGTTGTATAAAAGCGCTCGTAGAGGCGTGCCGTCGGAGCTAAATGACACATATGCTGCGTAGTTGTTGGTTCCGTCGTCGAGAGCTGTGAGGTAAGATGCCTTGGCTAATAACGCAGTTGCCGCATACGCACCATAGTAAGGCGCCCCCATGCTATATCTTCCCCAGAAGCAGTATTGGCAATTGCCAACGGTTCCGTGGTGGAAGTACGTTCTTGATATATTACTGTAACTGGCGCGGAGGACATAATCCATGGTCCACAGCGCTGCTCCGAAGGTAGGTGATACCCCAGCAGCTCCTCCTCCGGACACTATGAGAAGTTTGATTAATATCGCACGACACGACTTGGGTAATCGGGATAGTATATACCTGAGTTGGTCTCGCCGAAGACGTATGGTTTGCCCTCCTTCAACGCGGCTGCCACGTCGGCGTCGAAGACATGCAAATTGCTGGAGATGCTTTTATGGCTCATCAACGAGTCCACGCTCCCTCCCGGATAATTGTGATGAGCGTATGTCTTGACATAGCTCTTGACGGTTGCATTTTCTGTTGCGATCAACTCCGCCGCACCCCAGGTTGGGGGAGAATCGTTGGAGTTGCCAGCTTGGATGATTGGCGACTTTTGGACGGCTGACCCAACCGATAAAGCCCAATTATTCTGCGAGGCCGCATCTATAGCCGGAGACCAGCCGCCGGAAGCAATAGGTTGACCGTTCCTGGAATAGTCTAAGAGAGAATCAGCTTTGTTGATAAACTAATGAATAGATCGAGACAGAGTACGTGAACGTACACTCCGGCTCATTACCCAGTTCGATAGCAAGCAGGTTCTTCACCTCGGAAATTGCAATCTTTGCCGCATTGATCGTGTTTTGGATATTATTTTTACCCCTATTCAGTCCTACTACCACGCTTCCCGCGTAAGATCCTGCTAGGGTCAAGAAGCTCGAGCCATATGTCAAACTTGCAGGCGCATCAGCTGGATTGGAAACACTGTACACGACGTAGGCCGAAGTTTGAGAGTCATATTGGGCTCTATCTTGCGTGGTTCCTCCAATGCGTATCGGTGGCCAAACTCCCGTCAAGTCTTTCCAATTGGAAAGGCACTGGTTCGTGGCGGTCACATTGGAAAAATAAGATGGGAAGGCAAAGAACTCGAAACTAATAAGGGATTTGGTGAGTATATGGCGGTGATAGATTAATCTTTTTCTCTATGACTTACGATATGCCAACTGGTGCAGGGTCTAAAGGTGCGTATCTATATCCTCCTGTGTGTGCCTGCTTGGGGACGGTAAAAGTCACCGCTGCGATCGCGCTTTGGATCGCAGCGAGGAAGAGTATCAAATTTCCGAAATGAGAAGCCATTATGCTGATAGAAAATATAGACCATGCATGTCGATCATACTCATACTTATATCCTGAGCAACTATTAGCCTATTTATTAAATACGTCGAGCATCTAAACGAGACGTCGACCTGATTAGGTGACGGATCCTACATCGCTTGCATTAGCTCTGGATGAATTTAGAAGTAGACCGGGGGGATGTTATATGCGCGCTTCTCTATACAGCTGCACTGCTACATATTCAAGGGTTAAACCGAAAGCCGCAGGGACATGACGGAGGGTAAACGTGACGGTATAGATCTTGGTGATAATAAATTTCCACCAATAAGCAATGACCCAGTAATGAAATCGAATGAGATTCAACCTTATTGCCTTTTTACTGTAGGGTCTAGAAGTTAATCTATTAGTATTCTATTCTAAGGAAGATTTCGCTATTGGTATACTTCATAACAGTTTTGAGATGGCTGGCTGGTCGTAATAGCATGATCAATCTCAATAGTCGACTGCTGATAATGAATTACCTATCACGCCAGGATGCCTTATGATTTATATTTGAGTAGGAAAGGCACCGTTTCAACGATATCCCAGTCATCCTCCTTTGAAGCGTCGCCGTATACCCTGACGGCACTAGTGATGAATTTATATGTGCCTTCTGGGATGATGGTCCCGTCATCCAGTATACCATTAAAATAGCTTCCTCCTCCATTCCGGGGAACTAGAGATAACGGGTAACCTGGCAGAGAACCAATAATTTCGTACCCTTTCCATTTAGTCGTTGGCAGGCTTGTGGCAGTTACGGCTATGACGTCGGCGCGGAGTTCTGGCACGCCTAGGGTGGGATAGACGACGAGCTTAGGGTAGACGACACCACTAGAGCTACTGTTACTCCCGGGGCGATTAATTGTAAATGTGGTATTTGCGGCAACCGGAATATTGAAATGACCGTCGGTATTGGTAAGGTAAACCCCTCCGTCATAACCAGACTGAACGACGGGAGTATTGTATAGGCTACCGAGGACACCTAAATATGGCAGCACTAATGACTCTGATTTGGTGCTATTGATGGTTATATAACCACTGTAAACAGGTAGCAATGTTGCGTTCAAATTCTGCGGTGGCGAGAGTATAACCGTGACCTCGGAAGTTCCGCCTGCGGGCACTGTGATCTCATCGGAGGCGAACTTCACTTCAGCCCAATCGTCTGCGGTAGGATTTGGAAATGAAGTGCTTTTAAGGACGGGTCCAGAATTATCCGCGAAGGTGTACGTTGTTAAAGCTTTTGCGTGCCCAAGAACATATGTCACATCTTCGCTGGCGGTGTTCTGAATCGTAAAAGTCCTCTCGCCGACGAAGTGGTCACTGTCATTAAACGAGATGCTGCTTTCATTGAAGATCGTATATGTATGTGCAGCATCCCACGCCTGAACAATACCCGCTCCCTGTTGTGCGACTGGCGCGAGGATGTTGTTATGCGCGGTCTCACCGTCAAACCAGACTTTGGGCTTCGCAGTGGCAGAAACTAAACTACGGAGAACTTGAGGATCTCGGGTCCCGCGGGCTTCGGATATAAGTGCGAAGATAGCCGCGAGTAGAGGAGTTGCCATCGAGGTTCCCGATAGAACAGCGTAGCCACCCAAGGCTAAGGGATAAGTCGATAGGATGTCGCCACCCGGGGTTGTGACTTGAGGTTTGACTTGGACCTCCTGGGTTGGACCCCAACTACTTGATCTGCTCGTATATCCACCAGTGGTCGGGTTATCCAGATTTTGGATATATAACCCTGCGGAACTCCAGTCGTTGATATCTACAACGATATCTTTCCCTTCATTTAATAGCGTTATAAATTCGGCGCCTTGAGTAGAGGATATAGCCCCGACACCCTTTATGGATTCATTGGCGATCCATATATCTGGAACTTCCCTGATTATGATTTAGTTACGGGTAACTCCACTCAGGGGAAGATTCGAAGCTCAAACCACACGGGCTTACCTATTCGACTGGCTATACCATAATAAATACTGGCTTCCCTTCGCCGCAAGATTCGCAGCCTGAATTTCGGCGGTGCATTCTGAACCTGAAGTTGGCATGCGAAGTAAAGAAACCGTGTTGGATAGATCTGGAGTATCGTCAGGCAGTGGCTGACACGCGTCTGTTTCCGAAGCCGTATTATTGCTTGCAGGCCATAATCGTAAAGTAACATTCGTTTGATAAGAAGGGCTACCAAACCTGAGGCCGAAACGTTCGGGCCGAGTTGAATTTCCAACAGTGAAGGTAGCCGCTTTTATCAGCATCGGGAGAACGATATTCTCAACAGAGCCGACGGCCGTGACATTGACACCGGACGCCGGCGTGGACGGGTACCACAGGCCCAAATTTCCCGAATTTCCGGGAGCCACAACAACAGGAACACCGGCAGCAGCGATACGCGAAGCGACAATGGCCCACGGGTCTGAAGCCCAGCCAGAATCATCACCGGCCGAGCAGGAGATGATGTCACTTCCAGCCTCAAACGCGGCGTTGAATCCGGCAATCAGCATCTCGTTAGTTGTCAACCCTCCGCAACCCGTCGCCTTATACATGCCAAGCTTGACTCCGGGCGCAGCCCCTGTAAAGTTGTGCTCATTAAGCTGAGCGGCGATTATTCCCGCAACGTGAGTCCCATGTCCGACGCAGCCATCGTACGGGTCCGGATCCGGGATTGGAACAGGCGACGTATCGTTATCTCCGTTAAAGTCGTAGCCGTATTCAACGAGACATCCTTCACCAAAACAGCCGCCAAGGGCTGGGTGCTTATAGTCGACGCCCGTATCAATCAACCCGATTCGTAAACCTTTACCCGTGTAGCCTTCGGCAAGGAGCTTGTCGACCTGAGTCATGAGGTGAGGGGTGAATATTCCATCCGTGACTTCTTGTCGTTTAACACGTCGGAGGAACTCCGTCACGTTGCTTCCGGTTAACTTCGTGTTAGGCTTTGGAAATGCAATCTTGCGAACTGGCCAGATATTCTTGACTCGTGGTTTTGAGGCGATTTTTATCGTATCGGCTTCGATATCCGCAACATCACCCCTGAGGTGGAACGACGCACCTTTAAAGAGCTGGAATTTTAAGTCCATCCGGTGCTCCACCTCAATGCCGTCAGCTTTGAGATCTCGGTATAATACATCTGAACCCTCATTGTCTTCGAATTCGACAATGTACGCCCCTTTTACGATAGACTCATCCGATATTGCCGTGCCATTAGGGGCCGCGACAGCACCAGAAACGAAAGCTTGAGCCCAGAGAAGGGCCACCAATGCGGGTTGTACTCTCATTGCGAGTAAAGCTGAGAATACCGGCTATGCTGCTGTAGCACGGCAAACAAAAGGGGTAACCATTACAGAGAAACTTGCCAACGAAGAGCTATTTAAACCTGAGCTCCCAAATGGCACCTCAAGATCGAACGACTATAGGTTCTTAGTATTCCGCCGCCAAGCTAGAACTTTCCGGAGCCCGGCCTTCACGGTATGGACATGGGTAAACGGAGGACGTCCTTGTTCTGTGCGAAGGACCGAGAATAATTCCCCACAAATCAGCGGCTATTCTCTCCCCAGGTTGGAATTTCTCGTATATAATCCACGCCAAGACTCTTCACGAGATGTCTATAATTGAACCTTGCGACTCCTCGCGAATTGTACGACCTCATTGTGACGACTTTCTGGTTTGGGGTATTAATACCCGAGAGCCTATAAATCGCGATTCTTCGCGTCTATTATTCCATCAATCATTGAACGAGAGTAGCTGTTTATCGTGATAGCTGATGATAGAAATGCATTAGTTTAGGTATTCCCTTGTATTCTCACTCAGGGATATCGTGAGGTGGATGGGGGTTTTCGGAGCCAACAGAAAAGGCTTCTAGCTACCTCGTATATCATTAGCAAAGACTTATACTCAGTCAGGTGAACTACTTCTTAGGTGTTAGTAATAGGGATTATATAGTATACGGACGGATGTCGGATGGGGGGTAGTGTGAATAGGGGGCAAGCTAGCTAAAGAGTTTGCGTATTGTTACGACTATAGTCGCCGTCACTTATAAATCTCAAGATGCTTAGGAGAACAGTGTCAGGCTCTTGACTAGGAATGCGATGAGGTTCCTCTAGTCCTCTTTCTAACTGACGGATAACGCTGCAAAATGGGTGAATGGCCATAGTGCGGGGTATAAAGGATGGAAGATCTATATAAGAGGGTAACTTGCCGTGATAGTCTTTAGGAGAACTATCTTGCGCTATTCGAATGTGTCGAGTTGCAGATCGGCTGACTCAGAAATGCGTAAAAGTGTGCCCTCTATGTTGGTAGATCGGTTGACCCGGCTGCGCGAGAACATAGAACCACGATCGTAGAATATTTTAAACGTGCTACAGGACTTAGGAAGTTTTGACTTAGGGAAGCAGCTTCAAAGGAATTTACTAATGAGAAGGCACTTAGGCAACTATATCTTTGAGAATATATTCTCGATATTAACTATAATTAAGTGTTAAATGGAGTGGTGAGTTAAATCTATCTCTCATGTCTTCCAGAAATATCCCTAACCTTGTATGCTACCTAGGTACCTAGGTAAGTTTATACACCATATAGCGACCGGCAACTACTCTACGCCTAGTTACTATATAGCTCATTGACGAGTAATAAACTACTATCTATCTAATTATTAGATTTCTTAACACTCTTCCATTCTATTGCGAGACTGCCGATCAAAGTAAGCGCCGAGGTGCATAGACCAACTGTAAAGACTTTGGTTAGAGCACGGTTGTAAGCCACTAAGACCGCCTGTAGGTATTGCGGCGGCGTAATAGACCGAATTTGGGTTGCTCCAATATTCGCGAGGTTTGGCAGATCAATACCACCGTTAGGGAATGCCGCCGCAAGGTTTTCGATTAGTTCGTTTTGGAGCACAGATTGACCCACGGAAACGAATATCGCCCCGCTGATTGTCTGCACAAGTAAAATAATAGATGTGCCCGAAGGTATATCCGCCTTAGGTAGGACAGTTTGTATCGCCATATAGGGTTGTTGCTGGCCCAGTCCTAAACCTATTCCTAACAGCGCCTGGTAGCCAACCCATTGAGAGAAGGTCGCATCCACCGTCCAGGTGGTTAGAAGGCCTGCTCCGACTGGGGTAATAATAGAGGCAAGTATCATCATCGGAGCATCTAACAAGAGTTAATCTTTAGATGCTATAATTCAATGCTAAGGATAATATGTTTATGACTTACAGTATCCAAATTTAGAGACCAACCCTCCCGAAATCATAGCCATGATAACGACTCCTAAGACGAATGGAAGTAGTGCGATTCCGGCATCGACGGCGTTGACACCACGAATAACCTGGTGCCAGAAAGGAATGTAATAAATAAACGTGAGGGACGTTCCTCCGTTACAGAAGCAATTCCATGTGGCGGCGGCCATGCTCCTCCTGGTTAGAATTCGGAGTGGGAACGTAGCTTCGGCACCCTTCCAATATTCAAATATTAGAAATATAGCCCCTAATAAGGCGAATATAACGAATAGCGCGATGATCCGGCCGTCGTTCCATGAATAAGTCGAACCGCCCCACTGGAGTGCTAGTAACAAACAGACAATGGAAGGGATGAAAATTAAGGAGCCAACTATGTCAATCTTGCTCAGTTTTTCCCTCAGAGAAATGGAGTCGAGCTCAGGGCGCTTTGGAGGGTTTAAAAGAACCAGGATGGCAGCTATTGTGGCACCACCGAATGGAAGGTTTATATAGAAGCACCAACGCCACGTGAGCTTGGTTGAGAATATCCCGCCGAGTATGGGCCCTAAGACCGACGCTACGGCAAAGACAGCTCCGAGGGAACCAACAAATATCGGGCGAAATCGTAGAGGAACAGAGCTAGCAATGATAATCATAGCACCGGACGTGATGCCGGCCCCCCCTAGACCGGCTATGGCACGACCGACGATGAGGGCTGTACTAGTTGGAGCGAGGCCACATACTAGGGATCCGAGCTCGAAAATGCTGATCGCAGCGAGGAAGGTGTATTTAATAGAGAAGTTCGCATAGACTCTTCCGTAGAAGAGCTGAAAAGCTGCCGTAGTTAAGAGATATCCTAGTTTCCTATATTTAGCATTTAAGAAGGTTATGTGTATGCGCCAAGAGCTTGATAGACATACCGCTACCGTACCAACCCACATCGGATAGCTTCTGGAAGTCGTCCGAGATGCTGGGTGTGGCATTGGCTACTATTGTCTGATCCTAAGCATTTAATCATAGTTAGTATGCTAAAGAAGTTGTATGAGCGGAACAGGTAGTCAAGCAGGGGGTCATACCAACGAAACTAAGAACACGGCAAACCATAAACCGATGCCAACAGCCACAATATTTACCAGCGGCAAGGGCTTCTCGGCATCGACAGCTGGGTCATGGTTTTGTTCGTGTTTGTTTTCTGTACATCGATCTAGGTCATCCGTAACCCGTACGGGCTTCTCTTCCGATGCCATGTTCCGTGTTTAAAAGTAAGATGATAATAAGTCGTAGTTAGCCAAGAATAAACTGTAAATATAAGACAAGGTAGACAGTCAAGAGTACCTAAAAAAGAGAGAGAAAATAAAATATCTCGAGGCGTATATTTTATATGTTGCCCAAGGAGAGGACGGAGGATGGTAGCTTTATGGATCTTATAAGTGGAATGGGAACTTGACCAATCACATAAAAGGAGAAGCCTGACAAGGTTCGCAGAGCCTTCTAAATTGGGATTAGAACCACGAAACTAAGCATTTTTATTGGCCAGAAAGGTATCTTTTCTTCAAACGACGATTCTTACTCCCTTCTTATTCTATCTGACTCGTAATCTAAGGCGATAGTTTACCATTCAAAGCCTCTCGTGTCGCATCATAAAATATAGGAGATAGGTAGGTAGGTACCTTTCATGCCAGCAGCATGCTTACTTGTGGAGCTGATCCATCTCTACCCTCTGTCCCCCGTTCTAAGGGTTGTCTTACTTGCGTATCTCGCAAGACGCGTTGCGGTTCGTTTTTCACGCTATGTGACTACCTGTCATTGCTTCCACTGCTAACATACGACCTATAGATGGAAGACGTCCAACTTGCAGAAATTGCGAGGAGAGAAAACAGGTTTGTCGGGGATATCGGAGACGGGATATCGTGTTTCTAAGTGATGGATGGCGAGCTCCAGGGGTCGCGGCCTCGGAACGAAAAAAGAAACTGCCAGCCAGGACAGAGGAATATGAACCCCTAGAGTCAGGGACCTATTCTCCTGGGGTTCTCATACCGCATTCAGATTTTTGTCCCCAAAAAGGTCCTAACGTAGACCGACGGCAATTATATATTGCCTTTTTCCTCTCCGAGTTTGGACCGGCTGTCCTGAGTGGCCCTCATCTAATATTCGATCTGTTTTACTATTATGCTTCAATTCCTATTACTCAGACTTATACAGATACGATACACTACTTGTCACCAAGCTGGCCCGTAGTGCTTGCCGTCCACGCACTTGCTGAAGCTCGATTCGGAAGAGCCAACGCCGATCTAATATCGACACAGCAAAGCGTCAAAATATATGGCATGGCTTTGAGGTCTATGTCAGCCAAGCTCACAGAGTTACATGATGCAGATTCGGGCTTTCGAAACCTCTCAGAGGGCGATTGGCAGCATCTAGTCTTCTTCTGTATTGTGATGGCATGTTGGGAAGTATGCTTACGCCCTTATATTCCTCAAACCATGTAGTTATTCTAATTTCAGCAAAGCTAGAAATGTTTCCAACTTCGAAGATGTGGCAAAATCATATCCGCGGACTGGCCGCCGCTATTATGTCTAGAGGTACTGAGCACGCCTACTCGGATAATAACCTGAGGCTGTTGGCGGCTTCACGCTTGTTCATAGTAATACCCCTCAAGTTACTTTCGGTTGGTGGCCAGAGCTGAGATGTGACAGATTTTGCAAACACTTTCATGGAGACGGCCAACCTTTCTTTCTGACTCTTCACGACACGGCCAGGCCCCTATCCACTCTGAATTTACGTTAGAAATAAGAGCAGCGCAGCACGAACTCAAGTATCCGATCGCGACCTTGGAAAATAACCTCCAATCACTGGATCACCTAATAATGGACGTCTCTTCGACAGCTGCCGTTGCCTCCAAATATGACCAATTACTTGCGAATATGTCCGGGGTGGCTTTTTACAGCGACAGCGACAGCGGAAAGACTCTAATTAATCTGTATAACGAAGCCGAAACATTATTATTCCGAATTGAGATGCAGCTTGCGTGTTGGGACACGGCCATCTGCGAAACCCCACTGGCAGTCTGGCTTTCGAACCACCAAAACGCGAGTGCTGGGTTTTGGTCTACAGTGGGGTTGGATCTCCGATACGTCGTCGACACCGTTCTTTCGTTTCGTTCGATGAGGGAATACCAGATCTTTACCCTCCAATGTACGGCCGCTATGTTTCTTCGGCTTCTTATCAGCGACATGCTGGCCCTGACGCTCACTACGGGGCTACATGCAACATTTGTTAATCCATACGGTAATATTGAACGACATCGAGTCAAGCTTATGGGCTATGCGCAGAGGATACTTCGAACTATCGGCTATGGCGTGCTCAAAGAGAGCAGATTGGCAGCTCCCTTCTTCCTGGCAACTGCTTTCCAAATGGCGACTGTAATTACGGAAAGGGAATGCGAGATCCTTAAAGCGCAAAACGGTGATAGAGGTCTGATAAAGAGGTGCGAAGATATGAGATGTCTGGCTATATATTATATGAACTGGGCTACGCGGGATAAAATCTCAATTAAGATGGACGTGAGCCCTCCTTATTAACAGATACATGAGTTCACGGCTTATGGAGAAAGGCCTCCTTAAACTGGGCTGAGTACGTCGTCTGGCTTATTGGAAGTTTGGGTGCTCACTCTACGAGAATAAATACTCGCTAAATAGATGGCTAGTATATATACTTCAAGAGTGTTTACATTTTTGAATATCCTTTACATTGTATCTCAGCCCGGTGGAACATCAGTCATGTCCAACCTGCGCTCTATTGCTCTCCCGCCTAGTATATAATTCCGCGCATCACGCCTTTTCCTTGCCCAACTTCTCGAGAAATTGGGCAGCGACGTCGACTACTGCACTCTCAAATGTTCTTAACTTCCCGCCCAGTAGCTTCTCTACATCGCTGGAGTCGTACTCAACAGGCAACGTCGGAACCGTGCCCTTCTTGAAGACCCCCTCTGCAACTGCCTTGGGGAATGCCTTAGCGACGTGGTCGAATATCGTTCCGTAGTCGACCTTCGTCGCGATACCAAAGTCCTTGGGTCCATCCTGTTGCGGGTCGAGGAACGCCACGCGCAGATGGGCGTCCGCCACGTCGTCGATGTGCGCGAAGCCGCCGTGGATCGGGAATGGCAGCTCTCCGCCCACCATGCCCATCATCAGGAAGTTGTTGGAGCTGTTCTGCGTCTGCATCATAGCGGCGTCGAGGGCGAGCTCGTTGCGGCCGAAGACGTATCCGGGCACCACGTGGGATACGGTAAAATGAGGACTGTGCTTCTTGACGAACTCGTCCGAGTTATGCAGCTCGACTATCTTGCCCAGCACGTACGCCTCAAAGACGTTGTCGAAAGTGGTGGGGACGGGGTCGGGTAGCGGAACGCGCGTTTTCGCCGAGACGGCGGTGGGAGGCGGCACGGCGCCGAGATTCGCGACGATGGATGAAGTTATGATGACGCGCTTCACGCTGGGCGCTTTAAGCGCGGACGAGAGCAGGCCCGAAGATATTTTTATCGTCGGCTGGAATATCTCTGTTGTGGGCTCGTAGCTCGGCACGGGTACGGGCGAGCCGGCGTGGATGATGTGCGTGACACCTTGCAGGGCTGAATCAAAGGCGCCTTCGACGGTGAGGTCGGGTATGATGACCGGGGAGAGGCGTTCACCAGGCGCGAGCTTTTGAACAGCAGGGTTTGAGGCGACTACTTTGGCTTTGTCTTCTGATCTGACCGTATAACGTACATTGTGGCCAGCGGCGAGGGCGGCGAGAAGGATGCGAAAACCGATCAGGCCAGTAGACCCCGTGATAAGAATCGTCGCTGCCATCGTGTTTTGTTTTGTATCTGAAGTATATATCTGATATGTAGTTTGGATGTACTGGGCTCTTTACTGCGACGGTGGTGGTTGAGTCCTAGGTAGCCTGCTGGAAAGGGTTCGTTATTAGATAGTCTAACACCCTGGATATCGCTTAACTCGTTTACTCTATGTAGGAATACGAATGAGGGAATATAGGACTCGAAAAAGGGGGAGCGATAGCGAGAGGCAGGAGAAGAAGCTCTGACATATTGGTGTGCAACTGCAACGCTTTTAATGACTCCCTTGTTTAGGAAATATTGTATATCGTATGCCCTATGCTCATCCTTCCAACGGAAAGGGACCCCTCGGTAACATCTGGCGGCGCAGCTATGCAGCTACTATACGCAGCCACGCCGCTGTGGTACATCGATCGAGGGGTCCGGCACATGCTTCAAGGATGATGAGGTGCTGTTGCTGTGCCTGGTACGGGCATCGTTCTTTATTGGGTCAACTCGAATAATAGTGGGTGGCTTACATTGTCCTATATTCTCATTATATTACCTAACAGATATACTATGATATACTATGTATATACCTCATCTTCAGCATCTCATCACTAGTGTATAGTATAGGAGCTTCTTAATCGGAATGAAATATGAGATGTCCAAGATTTAACTAAAACAGGTAGTTAATCAATCATTTATTTTTACATTTATTATCCGAGTTTTGTGTTTCAAATCATGTCAAAGCTATAATAGGAAAACCACGTTTCGTCCCCACGTCCCCCTCTATATACCCTACCCCCCTCCCCTTTATCCTTGCCCTTGTCCCTTGTCCCTTGTCTTCGCCACTTTACTCTAGACTTTCCCTCTTTGAACTCGTCTCCATCTCCAATCCTAATTTTAGCGATTTGAGCCCACCCCTAGGCTGCCCTAGTTATAAGCGCTGCAACACCGAGTAGCATTATCACCCTCGAAGGATTCACTATCGTATGCGTGCTTAGAGGCATTGGAGGAGTCTGGCCGACTTGTACAATACCATCGCATCAGAAGGATTCACTTCGTGACGCTGTAATCGTATCATCTAACGCGAAGAAGGCATGAAAGGATGGACTTGGATGATCTTAGATGTTCTTAGGTGGTTAGGTATCTCGAATATGATTTGGTCCTTTAAATGCTTCGGCGTCGCTTACGCGATCTCGATTCGTCCTCCCCTCCTAACCTAGGGACTGTCCTACCGTTTTCCGTTATACCTACGTGTAGTCGTGTACCTATTAATCAAGCCGTCAGCCTGTTGGTACTCATCTGTCAGCAAGCCCATTAATTTTCTCAAGACGTACAAGTGTTGCAGTAGTTGGTCGAAAAACACTAGAAGCCTTACACAAGTTCCAACCGAACCAAGCAATTGTGTTATCACCAACAGATTAAAAACACAACCGAGAGAGTCTTCTAGGACTAGGTAGCATCAAATATGGCGGCGCCACCACCTTCGCCAGACCAGTTTCCACCTGGGTATCTGGAAGAAGACCACGGCGGGCGAGTGATTGCTGCTGTTACCACTATTCTCGTTATAACCACAATCCTTTTTGGGCTGCGACTTTGGGCAAGAAGCTTGACAACAGCACAGCGAGGATGGGACGACCATGTATTAATTCCAGCTTATATATTCTTGCTGGCATTGTGTGGGAGCCTGTATGGTAAGTTGAGAACTCTACTCTTTTCTCGACTGTATGCATATTTCGCCCCATGGTTATCATGCTAATTGCTCTACGACAGCTGAGGTAAAACAGGCTGGGCTTGGTAGACATACCGTGGCGGTGGTAATGGAGGATCCCAACAAAGTGACCAAATATCTTCTGCTGCTGTATCTCTTGGATTGGTTCTACGTCCCGTCCAATATGCTATCCCGAGTCTCTGTAGTCATCTTGTACCTACGCATCTTTACCGACAAATGGGCGCGAGCTGCTTGCTGGGGCGTCATAGGCTTCTTGGTCGCGAATTGCCTCGCCACCATCATCGCTGCTCAGCTCGAATGTACGCCCCTTGCGTTTACCTGGGACAAGAACATCGAGGGCGGCAGATGCTTCAACCAGATACTATGGTACCAACTTACCAACTTCCCCAACATCATAGGCGACGTCATGATTATGATTCTACCCATTAGAACCGTCTGGGGAATAAAGGCCTCTGTCGGGCGAAAAGCTGGTATTGCGTCTGTCTGCCTGACAGGCAGTATGTAAGTAGCCACTTAATTTCCCCCTACCCGTCGGCATCTTGCTTACATCTTCCTCAGCGGTTTGATAGCCTCGTGCGTGCGTACCAGCGTGTTCTATATCCAGGCGGATGTGATTATGACTGACCCAACATGTAAGGAGGCCCCGACTCGTTTTGAGCCCGCCTGCTAACCCCGCGTAGTTGCCGACGAGGCATTTTCATGGACGGCAATCGAATGTGGCATGTACTTCTCGGCCGCTTGTCTAATAGGATTACGGCCACTCCTTGCCCGCCTACCGCATTTCGTCAAAAAGCGCGTCCTAAATGCATCGGACAATGCTGGAGGCACTTACGCGCATCAAACCAATAAGATGCACCTAGGCAAGTACTACAATAGCCACTATGCTAGTATCGTGGCCGACGACGAGATTGGTCTACGGAGCCAAGGTGAGATTCCGCTTCGGCCTACGATACCACCCGCACACTTCGGCCGCGATCCTTACGGGAAGGATCTGAGCAAAAGCGAAATTCGCGTAGAGACCAATATCGAAATTCGGAGGGATTTCGATCGGTCTTATCCTTGATGTGATTTTCGGGCGGGAATTGGTGGGGTTATTTTTCTTTTTTTATGCTGGTACTTTTAACGGACTTAGAGATGGTGGCATCTCTGTATGTAAAGCATCCGAAAGTATATAAAAATCTCTGGCTTGGTATGAATCTAGAGTGGATTTCTAAACGTGGACATGTCTTAAGATCCTTTCAAAGTACTTCAAGGTTTTAAGCCCAAGGCCCATGGTTTAACTGAATCATCGCTATTTAGGTACTTAATACCAAACATGCGAAGCTCATACTATAGAAGCTGAAGCGTCTACGTAGAGAAAACAAGGATAGGAATAAAGATACCTAGGTAGGTAGATATATAACTAAACATCTTATAATTTACTATCTCTATCTATGAGCTCTCTGCCGCCGCCTGCACTACTACCTTCGCCTCTTCCGGCTCCGGCTTGTCAGTCGGCGCTGTGACGGCCAATTTTGCTTGGCGGTGTAATATTCTCGGTGGCATACTTCCGCTCTTATTGATTGATGCGGTACGCTTCCATCGACTGTTCCACACGCCGTCGTCATTCTGTCGAATGTAATACCCCAAGTCTGCCGTAGGATCCCACTCCGTCTGAGAAATTCCGTTGCCCAACCAACTGAACCTGTTCCCGGCATACTTGACCTCCCAATCATCCCAACGAGGCTCGCGGATCGCCTCGAGGTAATGTAGCGTGCTTCCGGGCCAAGTAGTCGGCACGCGCCCACCTACCTTATGATTGTTGTGTGAATTTCGGCAGTTATCAGTCCACACGGCTTTATCCATGAAGCTAGCTACGTGTGCTTTGAAATCGGCACAGGCAGCTACTTTCGGTGCCATACTGTGGATTGGTTCTGTTTGGTAGCGATCGATGAACGAGCAAATATAATCTGCTTGGGCTTCGATGGCAATAAGTGTAGGACCGTTAGAGACCGGTGTGTAAGGGCCTAGGAGCGTAAATGTGTTGGGAAACTCGGACGCGCCCACACCCATGTACCCCATGATGGACTCGGCCCACTCCGTTTGTAAGTTGCGTCCTTCGGGACCATAGATAGGGTAATGAGATATATACGACGTGTCGAAGCCCGTGGCGCAGATTATCACATCGCCGTCGTAGCTAGACCCCTCGTTGCTGATAACACCGGTAGATGTGAAGGATTCAACACCGCTGTATACAGCTGTCACGTTTTTTTCTTTGAGTGCCTTTTTACAACTTAATTTAGCAGGATCTCTTCAAGAAGTAGTACGTAGGTAATTTACTCTAAGATATCTGAAGCCGGATGGAATCACTCGCTTGCAACCGACCGCGAAGTTGGGTATCAATTTCTTCCGAGACTCTTCGTCGTCGAATATCTTCTCCATCTCACCTTTAAGCAGAGTCTTGCATTGCTCCTGCAACACTGTACCTTTGAGGTAAAGACCTATCTCTATGGTTACTGACGAGCACTGCCATCCATATTAAGAAGACATACTGAAAATACTATTCATAGTCCTTTCGTTGGTTTGTCGCAACTCCAAGACGGTCTCCGGCTCCTTCTTGAACTTCTCAATCTCCTCTTGAGTGAACTGTCCAGCCTCGGTAGAAATGTCTGGGAGGACCCACGTGGGGGATCTAATGAAGATGGTGACATTCTTGACGATAGGTTGAATCGCGGGCAGTATTTGTACGGCCGAGGACCCGGCCCCGATGAGCAGCACGTTTTTACCATCGAGTGGTATACTCCTGTCATAGTCTGCGCTATGGACCTTGACACCTTTATAATCGTCGATTCCGGGGAGCTTCGGCCATGATGGCTTGTTAAGGTAGCCACAGGCGTGGATCAGGATGTGACAGGAATCATGGATAACCTTTCCGGTGTTCAAGTTCTTGACTTCAACCTGCCATTGTCCCGTTTCCTCTACCCACGTAGTCTTCTGGACGGCATGGGATAGCTCAATGTGTTTGTTTAAGTCGTACTTATTCGCGAAGTCTTCAAAGTACTTTTGGATCTCATCCGAACCGGCGTAAACAGAGGAAAAGTCGGGCTTCTGTTCGAAAGAGTAGACGTAGTTGTGCGAAGGCACATCGCAAGCACACCCCGGGTACCTGTTCTCATACCATGTGCCGCCTACGCTCGGATTCTTCTCGTATATCTAAAGACTCATTAGAATTTTGATGTCATCTCGTGTTTACATCATGTTTCAAACCGTTAGAGAATAAGACCTAAACGACCGTTGAAGCTTGTACGCCAAGCATAGCCCTGATGCACCCGCTCCGACACATATTATTTTGACATGGCGTTCATTGTAGATGGCTTCCTCGCGTAATGGATCCATGATTGTCTCGTATACCTAGGCTAAAGCTGACGAACGAATAGGTACTTACTTACACCCTTTACGAATCGGTTTATACGAGTTAGTTATGTGGTATTAAACCCTACAAATACCTCTCAAGGCGGCGTAGCAATTTCATATACATATCGTAACGAAGCCTACTAGGGCCGTACAGGATTAGATTCATGTTGATGGCGCCAGTCAGCCAGTTTACGATCAATATCCTAGGTAAAAAGGATTCGACAAGGTAAACAATCCTCACGGTATATCTACCAGGTATAGTATGGCATTGGTTGAGCCGGCACCTACATGAAGAAAATGCCCCGAAATCCTGGAATGTTAACGGGTGGTTAATCAGGCGTCATGGTTCCATAAAAATTCAGCCACAAGCGGTAGATGCTTATGTAGATATAATGATGCTTGCTAGTTACACTGCTTGCGAAATTTGATGATAATTGTATATTGTAACCTTCCTCAATCCAAAACACGATATAAAAGTAGATATCTACATGGGGAATCATGGAAGCTAAGCCCGTAGCTAAACCCGTTACGCCTTGCCTTGCCCGGAACTAAGAAAAAAAAAAAACAGGATGTATGCTATTGTTGGTACCAACTCACGAGCGGGGACTACCGATGTGGGAATAGTTTACGAGCCCCCATGTCAGCCCACGTGAAAAGGCCTAGGCCCCGGAGCGAGGTTGGAGAAGGTTACCATATGCATAGTAAGACCAGGTAGAGAAGGTGACACGGCAGATGGCAACCCATAGGGCTGAGAGCTCAGGGGATGGATGTCTTTGGTCGTTTTAGTGTAGTGTATGTATGCAGGATGCAGGGATGGATCAGCCGTTGAATCCCATCGTCAGCCCCCTGTTACCCCTGTTACCCCTGTACCTGATGGAGAAGGGAGAATGAAGGATGGAGAATACACTACACTAGAGAATGGATAGGTAATGGAGACCTTGCAAGGATAACGAAAATAGAACAACCCAATTCTCATAGTGTAATTGGGCAACTCAATCTCGCTATCCATGCAGCTTAGATCTCCTCGGGCGCATGGGCAAACTTCAATTGGCGAGGATTAATGTACGAAACAAGGCGTAGCTCGCCACCTGCCTCTACCGAACATCCGATGTAGGTGTGTAGTCCGCTGCGCGCCCTTAACGCTTCTCGCGAGCTGCCATTCTGTTAGTAGTGGCAGGGTAACAGAGAATAACGAGAAAGGAAAAAGAAAGCGATGATGAGCTGCATTGTAAAGGTTGGGTTAGGCACAATACTTACAAGATTGTCCCCATAGCACTCCTGTAGTTAACCATGTTTACTCTAGACAGGGGGCTGGCTCCTCGCTGACGCAGATGCACATCAACCGCCGACATGACGGCTTCTTCACTTCGTGCGTAATGCCGGACAGGCAAGTAAGCCTTGACCTTGGGGCTTTTGCTTCCGTACTTGAACTCCACATTGTAGAGGATGCCAGCAGTTCGATGATCCTTAGCGGGGAGTTGTACGTCATCAGCATCTTGATTCGTACCCTTGCCCAATAATGCGTGGTATATCGACCGTAGATCCTCTAGGCCTCGCTCCATGTCCGGTATCCGAACACGACCCCCCAAAGTCATAGCAGCCCTAACCGAGGCAAAGCTGGTATCGCGGATTCGAAAGTAGATCTTGAAGCGGGACTCGGCTGGATCGATGAGATCTATGGCTAGCATGTCCATTTCTAGCTGCGGACTCGACGGATCACAGACGTACTCTTGGAACACCTCTAGAGCTTGAAGCTTCTCCGGTGAGCTGCCAGGCGCCGTCCGGATCGTGTCGGATATGACATCAAAGTTGGACCGCCGTGTTGCCCTCGCCTTGAATCCGGGGAAGAAGTATGCTTTACTTATCACGCCCTCCTCTCCCAAGTCAAAGGCGTAAAACTCCTTGGACTGGTGACCTTCTACTGAACCCGTTGCCTCCTCGCCGCTTAGCCTTAGCCGGAAGTGAGCAAGCCACTCCATGTTTGCTTCAGGGAGTAGCTGCAGCATCGAGTCTAGGAGCCTAGAGGCTGCGTACTGGTTATTGGGATCGAGATAAGTCCCCGCGTGAACTCCGACGGGTTCGATGGAAAATCGTATCTTGGGCGATTTACCACCCGTACGCCAGTCCCAGCTTAACTCTATGGGGTTGTGATCATCTGTCATGAAGCTCTTCCATCGCTGCCTTCCGGGTGTGTAAGCGGCGCCTAGGCTGGGTGTAATCGCCTTAACGAATTTTAATATGTCATATTGCGCATGGCTAGAGTATCCCGCCTTGTCGAGCAGAACAGCCAGTGCGTACCCCGAGGATTTCCACCAGTACCGTGCATGGTAATCCAGGTCAAGATGAGCTTCTGAGTCTACCCTCCGGAACGCTGCAGTCGTCGGGTATGAGGTTTTCGTAACTATCTGGGTCTGCTTCTGACCGTTTATCCGTAATACAAGGTTATGAAGGTAGAAGAAATACGAAAGGAATGGATGGATAAACCCCTTTAACGGGCTGCTCGTCATAGAAATGTGCATATGAGCCATTGTGATGAAGATGAAGCTTAGCAGCGGAGAGTGAATAGATAGATAGTCGTCAACTTGCACCGCAACGGGTAGATTATACTCGTAGGTCTCCTAATGCTAAAACCATTGCCGTCATTTTACCTATAACCCCAGCCAGCTGGGGAAGAGCTGGGTAAGATATATGCATCATCAGGTATTATTTACGGCCCAAGTCCTGGATGCGCTACTGTCTAGGCCCAACTCCTACTGCTACGTACCTAAGGCAATGTATTCAAGATCATATACTATGTACGTGGAGACAGTGGCCAACCATGGCCAAGATACCTAAAAGATGCCTAACTGAGCCACAAGCGAAGGAAGCTAAAAATAAATCCATATGATACCCACAACCATCACCAGTCGCGTTTAAAGTGAATACGGCAATAGTCCGCATCCTGGTTACATGCGACAAGGTATCCCGCCGAAGGATCATGGTACTCGGCATATAAGATCGCACTACGGCTAGGAATCCTGCCGCGCGTAGGTATTATTTAATAGTCTCTAGACGTGCTAAAGGAGCTCCCAAACCCGCATACGCCAACTGCGAGCCTCCACAGCAAGAATGGCACTCGTTTCATTTACCCTCGGGGCGATCGTTTTGATCGTTTATTTCCAACTCCTGTATACCAGGTACCGGAAACAGTTAAACTCCGTTCCCGGGCCATTCGTCGCAAGCTTTAGTAACCTTTGGAAGCTTGCCGCCGTCTACTATGAAGATATGCCCGGCTGGAATATGAGCGTGCATGAGAAGTATGGCCCTGTCGTACGCATCGGTCCCAACCACGTATCATTTGCTAGTCCGGACGCCTTCCAGATCATTCACGCTTCGCGGCAGGCATTTGCAAAGGTAAGAGAGTGCTTGTCTTCCTTCATCGACATAAGCTAATCGTGATCTGCGGTAACTAGTCGGACTTTTACGAAGTAGGAGCTCCTGTCTACCATGGAGAACCACTTGAGAACCTGTTCTCGCTCAGAGACGTCCAACGGCACGCCACTCTGAGGAGGAATATAGGGGGACTGTATACGAAGGCTGCAGTCAAGGATTTCGAACCTCAGGTAGATAGCTGTATTGACTTGTTTATGAGGCAGCTAGCAGACAAAACTCGAGACGGACCTGCAACTCTCGATATGTCGGTATGGCTACATCTGTTTGCCTATGACTGCCTCAGCGAAATCAACGTCTCAAAGAAGCTGGGGTTTTTAGAGAGGGGTCACGACGTGGGCGGTACTATCGAGTCCTCTGACAAAATATTCTTTATGGTCGGACTGGTATGTTTGTTGAAGCCCGTCCTCTTGCTATTCCGTCTTACTAAGATGCCCAGTTTACCCAAGCACCTATCCTCCAATGGCTCTTGGGCTTCCTCAGATCGCTCGTGCCAGCTGAAGAGGCGGAGCCAATATTAAAAGTAAGTCTGCTTGGCCCTACTAACTAGCACACGGGAGCTAGCGCTTATTAATGCATCCCAGTTTACGCTTAGTGAGGTAGAGGCTAGGAGGAAGTCATCTCAGACTCAGACGGACATGCTAGGCAGACTGCTCGACCTTCATATTGAGCAGCCGGATAAAGTCTCCATAAGAGACCTTACAGCCGCAATATTCATCAACCTGTAAGCATTATAGCATGCTCTCACGGCCAGGTACTTACACATCATCAGCACGGCAGGACATGATGTTCTAGCAATCACCATCCGCGCAATATGGTATTACCTTGCTCGGAACCCTCGTGTCCTAAGCAAGCTCCGAGCCGAAATAATAGCCGCCAGTAACGAATACTCAACCTCTTCTACAATCCCTTTCTCCGTCGTCGCTAAACTCCCTTATCTGTAAGCTACCTCGTCATTCCTACTCTCCGCCTGCCCACGACGTTCTGCAATGCTAACCACCGGTATTTACTTGAAGAAATGCCGTCATACAGGAAACATTACGCGTTCATCCCAACACTGGTACGATCATCGAACGTAAAGCACCGCGAGAAGGAGCTATTATAGACGGGTATCATATACCTGGAGGGACCACCGTCGGCGTTAACGCTTGGGTCCTACACTATAATAAAGAAGTTTACGGTGAGGATGCCGACCAATTTCGACCCGAGAGATGGATAGAGGTCACTGAGGAGAAAAGCCTAGAGATGAGCCGGTGTCTATTCTCTGTAAGCCTAAACCAATACCCTCCAGCCCTGGTGTTTATGTTTTCCAACTTGTCATGGAGTTGAACTAACTTGACTCTTTGCGAATAGTTTGGAGCCGGTACGCATACATGTATCGGAAAGAATATCGCTATCTTGATGATAAGTAAGTTGGTGGTGGAGTTTTATCGAAGATACGATGCCACGTTAGCACATCCTGATCAGGGATGGAAAATCCACGGTAGCTGGGTCACTAAACAGACGGGAATGGACATGATAATTAGTCGGTTATAAATGGATCTGGGGGTTAATATTATAAGGTACCTTAGGTGAGGCGTATTTAATGAGTTGAACGACAATTTACAATCATTTATTATATCATTTTAATACGGTGCCTTTGATTTCTCATTAGAATTTACCGTTTTTTCAAGTAATATGGTGGTTTTGCCTTACCACTCATGCGTTCCGCAGGTAATGGTCGCGCTACAGGTATGATAAGGGAATTGTATGAAAGTAAGATAGGTACCTCCTAAGGGATGATTAAGGTTAAAGGGGCTTGTCGGGTGGCGCCGACTGAAGCCGTGAGCTGCAGGTTTAGGTACACCAGCTGCCGAACTTTCGAGACTTAAAACGCCACTTAATCAATGGCCTTGGGGGCGTAGTTCCGGCTTAAGAATGGTTATCGTCGCGCAAAGCAACAGTTCCACCCGGTCCCGAACAAGACCGAATTCGAAACCCAGCAATGCTCGCAAGTGCATCACGATACCTGATCGAGCTTCTGCAACTCTCACAAACGGGACCTGGTAGTACAGTATGCCCTACACTCCCTTCTGCCATATGATAAAAGAGTCACGTGGGGTTATAATAAACTATCACTAACCTGGCGGGCCTATGCCGTCGCCCGACATCATCTATGCTTCTTTTCTACAGCGGCACGCTCACGTACGCCACTTAAGAGGTTATACCGGTGGTGAGTTAAATCAGGATCTGGAAGATAAATCGCAATTCAAGTCGCCCACAACGGTTACGCGGGGCATTTTATGATACTGCTCATATACCGCCTCTTCCATCAATTCCAATAATACTCAAAAAAGTAAATAGGTTTCTTATGCCTTGGTATCGTCTTGTCTATTGCTGCTCTGTGAGCCATCGTGGGACCAGTGGTTGGCGGCACTCTTGTGGAAAGAGATTGGCGTTGGTGCTTCGGGTTTCATCGCAGTGGCGATTGAGTAACATGTACCACTGAGAACAGAGCTGGAGATAGAGTTCGGACTTCAGGCAATGAAAGAAAATGGGAAATTTCCGGAAAACTCGATGGTGCCAATGAAAGGGGCCCTTATAACATATAGACTGACTCAATAGCTACCTCTAAGGTCGGTAGCTGACCATCTCCGTATACCTTACGTACCTACGTCCCACAATCACAGTATTTGTGAAAAGAAGCGATGAAGTAAGTCATAAAGAACGTTTGAAATGGCGTGGCATTTTGATATAAATATAATCCGTTTATGAGCTACCCCCAAAATCCCCAGTCCAAACGCCCGTGGCCTATGCAATAACCAGAATGATATATATCTCCTTTTAAGCCGGCTCTCATTATAATCGTATAGATTTTCCACTTGACTCAATCCGACAATAATCAGTGGACAGCCCCATCGCTGTTTTTTCCAACAGTGCTTGGGCTGTTTAAGCTGCTATCGTCGTCTCTCACTCGCCTTGCAACATCATCCTCGTCGTCGCTCATTAAACCTTCCAACTCAAACTCCTGGGCGTCCCTCACTGGTATGTTGCCGTTTACTCGGGGTCCTAATCTACCATTTACTACTTCTTTATTAGGAAGCGCCGGGGCACTGCTCCGGTCGTAAACACCGATAAGGACATTTACGAAGAGGAAGAGTAAGAAGGCGAGCGAATACAATATTAAGATATAAGCAACATGGTCCATGCCTGAAGAAGCGACTAGAGACATCTGCTCCTCTGTAGCACCCATAAATAAGAATCCGGAAGCGTAAAGCAACTTGAATACATGTTAGCAAGGAAGAAATTTCATAATAGCGAACTAGGAGACTCACAAAGACAGGGACGTATTGGAAACTAGTTGTTTCGCGGCCATCCTCGGATGAACCAGGTCGATCCCGAAGCACAAAGGATATCTCAATGATACGTGTGACACCAGCCGCCATGAGGGTATATCCGAACATCTTATGGGTTTCAGCGCTAATCATCAACTCTTGGGGATGAGCACTCATCGCCCATCCGGTGATTAAAAGGACGAAACCTGGGATGAAGTTGCGTTGAGGTCGGCCATCACGGTCTTTGCTTAACCAAACTCCGGCCAATCCAGCGGACCACCAGATTATACCCATTGTAGTATGCTGCCAGTCGTTCTTGACCCATTCCGTTCCCCATCGGTGTTCGGTGAAGGTATTAACTACTCCCCAAGCAGCGATGACGGCGCTGTCGAAGAACTCCTGAGAACGTCCGGTACGTCTTAACCAAAGCTGCCCAACCAGCAATAGCAGCGTTAAGAGGATCCCGTAAGCGATGAAAGCGCTTCCCATGATAAAATGTGCTAGGCATTGGCCGAGGTGGTCACCCTGACAGAAACCGAGAGCCGTAATACCGCCGAAAAGCATCTGCGTCCATGAGAGGACGGGCAACGCCTTGCCAACTATGCCATGCCCGATCTTCACGAACCGTCTGATCTTCCCATTTATACCCTTCTCGAGGTGTAGCTTCAGGTAAATGCCCATGAGAATTTGGAAGAAGAGTAATAGCGAAATCGGCGATGCGAACTTGGAGTGGACGTTGGAATGCTGAAATTCGCGGCCGCCGTGCATATGACCTAAGGCATATCCGACGATCGCTAGTGCTGTGCCGAGTACCTGAACAGGGACGTGCCATCGGGATTTGACGATCTAAAAATGGGGAATCTAGTTAGAATTCAGATCGATGGGTGAGGGGAGTTCGAGTATATGAGATGAGCATACCCCAAGAACCATCCCTAAGGGGAAGATGATGCCCCAAGCAAACATCTGTATGAAGATATGAATCCATAACGTCGTGTCCTGTATAAACCATCAGTTTCCGGCGCTTCCGCCACAGCCAAATCGATTTTGACTAATTAGTGGGACGTACGATCGGATCAACCGAAATGGCCTGGCCATCCTCAATATGCGTAGAGCTGTGATCGTGTGCG